CTGTCAGTTATCTACTGTTCTGTTTCCCCTTGTTGAATATGTCACCCCCTTTATAAATTAAACTGTACAAAGTCCCTTGATTAACAAAGGAAATGCACATCACAGTAAAACATGATACACAGAGCACAGCTATGATTGGGCAAATGTCTGCTCATTATTCTGCTTTTATAAAAAGCCCACAAGGCGCACAGTAAAACTGGGAGTGTTCTGTGTTACCATAAAGCACAACAGCAAACACTTTTCCCAAGAAACATGCATCATTAACTGACATCACTGAGAATGGACACTCTTGACTCTAGATGGAGGTGATCCTCAGTGAATTGATAGAATGAATGTAGATATCAGAACAAACTAGGATTGTTTGTTTACAAACACTAGTGCCTCCTAGGGTTGAGGGAACTTAATTCTTCCTAATATACTCTTGAAAAAATGTACACATTATGTAGGTTAGGTCACAGGCTCATTCAGGAACAGTTAGGAGGAAAAGTATTAAAATTGAGCTTCTTGCATTTGCTTCATTGTTATTTTGATACAATAGACTAAAACATCTACAAGATACTCATAAATGTTAGCAAACAAATTAAGAGACAGAACAATTTAATGATTTAAATCTGATCTAACTTTTCTCTTTATATTGAACCATATTAGGAGTCAAGATAACATTATGAAGTTGGAAGGGAAGTGATACAACAAGATATAGTCTCCTAATTGGAGAAAATGACAGGCAGTTAAGGATGTGGTTATATTAATGTTTAATAATCAAGCATAGATGCATTTCTTGCTAAAGGAACCGAATGGTGGAGGTGTCTGCACCACCCTTCCTAGAAATGGCCCTCTGTATTTTCCAGATGTAAGAATTAGGAAAATCCTGAAGGAATCTGAGTTCAGCAATGCAAACAGGAAATAAAGTTGTATTCATGGAAAGCTCAGGCAACAAAAGCAAATCCCTAAAAAAATGTCCATCCTGCTGAAGATTCTCAGATAATGGGAATGTGGTGTGCCAGTGAACTGACCAAATTTCTACCCTCCCCCCCCCCCCCCGAAGTCCTACAGGCTTTCATGCTATGTAAAATAGATCCAGAGTCTAGTGCATGGAAATTTCTAGAAGCTGCATCTCTGGATTCAAGAGCACTGGAAACTTCTCTGCTGAGCTGATTTATAACACGTTATAATGGCAATGTGTGTGTGTGCTTTTACCCAAAGACCTCAAGCCAACAGATACAAGGCTGCTGTGAGGTCTGGATATTCTGGCAAAGCACTGGGTTCATGGTGGCATACTCCTTGCCATTCCTTTTTCCAAGTGCTGATTAAGCATCTGAATGGAACACTTTGGAGGGCACCACAAAGCAAAGACACACTTGTTCCTCTTCAAACTCATTCTCCAGTAGGAGCAGGTCTTTCCCTACAGCCCACAGCAAGTATTAGTTACTTTGATAAGAGCTGTGGCATAATGCCTGTCTGAAGCACCTTAAGAGAAGAGGATGCTTTGCTTTATGGTTTAAGATGGAATAATTCATCATTGCAGTGAATGTATATTATGTTCAAGCTATTCATGAACCATGTTCTTCCCAGGTGTATGTGTGGTGTAGAATGCTGCCACACACCTGGCTTCTGTAATTCACACTGGGGCCACAACTCATGAGGGAGTGCCACCCACATTCAAAGTGAGTACTCCCACTTTGGCTAATGATTTCTCCAAACATCCTCACAGAGACAAGGCCAGAATCGTGTTTCCTGGTGGATTTCAAATGCAGTTGACAGTGGAGATTATTTGTGACAGCATGGGACATGGGGAAGTCATAATTCCTGGTGAGCACAGAGACAGTCCTCAATGCTTGGTTTTCGGATCCCAGACAAAACGCTGTTTAAGATAGAAGGTCTGGGCCTTGGAATGGGCTTATAGAAGAAATGAAAAATTGACAGAACACATGTTCCTCAGAATGGGGAAGTGACCAGTGAGTGTGGGGTTGGATCAGAGTGGATGTGTGACGGGAGAGAATGGAGACTGACAGAGAGCAGTATACATTCTAGAGCTTAGATTTCCCTCCAAATTCTGAACTAAGAGTTATAAGCCATGTTGCAATAAGAGTGAGCAGGACTTCCTATCTAACTGAAAAAAACATGGCTGCTAAACATTACAAGAAGTCTGGGGTGGGGTTGGGGGTGGAACTAAAGATATATCTTAGCATCTAAGAGTGCTTGTGGCTCTCGCAGACAACCTGAGTTTGGTTCCAAGCATCCATGCAGGGTCTTCATAACTGCTTGTAACTCCAGCCACATTCCCAACCATTTCAACATTCTGTGTCAGATTCTTGTGTATTCAGTTTAATGCAAGTTTAATGCTTTTACACAACTTGTTACATAGGCCTCCCACAAAACACTTAAATTCAGCATTACTCAGGGATGCAGTAGTCCTTAATAACCTAGCCAGGCACTTCATGTAAACAAGGAACTGACAAAGACTGTAGAGAGATTCACAAGGTTGGTAGGAATGGGAACATGTTCATGGAGTGTCAGGTTGGAGAAAGGTCAAACAGAATGAAGATGGAGAGAGAGATAGACCTTTCATACAAAGTCACTCAAGAGCTCATCAAATTCTCAGGGAAACTTGCAGTTTTACATAGAAAACACAAGGCTGCTACTATACATGGCTTATTATTTCAATAAGCAGAACCATATAAATACCATAATTTCAGAAAAAAATAACAGTAAAAAAGAAATTAAATAGGCACAAGTTCTGGGTTACTTTGTTTATTCCATTAGACCACCACCCAGTGCATATTAACTGGGGAACTTAAAAGTCACTTCAATTAAGTACCTCTTGAGACCGTCATCAATTATTTCAAGTGTTTTAGTCTCAAATACATCCACTTCTTCTACAAACTTCTGAAAGAGATGAACACCACCACCAACACCAAAATAATGCGCTTTGCTGGCCAGCAGCACACGGCCATTCCTTCTCAACAGCCTGAGAACTGTTTCATGCAAAGTGCTGTAATAATCTGGATTATAAATGGTTTCTGAGGTGAGAATGAGGTCATATTTCACAAACAGTTTTTCACTTAATACAAGCTTACAAAACTCAGACCACTCCCCAGAGAAAAACCGACATTTACATTCTCCTTGGGCTACTTTTGACTTCCTTTGTCTTTTCCCATCTGGTTCATTTACATCATTGCCCTCATCTTGCAAAGGGAAGTTAGCAGCCACATTAGGTAAGGTCACTTCATCAATCACCAAACTGTTATAATCTTGGAAATGAACTTCTTTGGCTCCTCCTTTGGCTGCAGTTATTCCAAGCAACCCAGATCCGCAGCCAAGATCCAACACTTTTTGCCCAGCGAATTTCACTTTGGCCTTTGTGAAATACGTTAGGAGGTCAAAGGTACACTCCCAGATTTTTAAGCCTCCTTCGTAAACACCTGGAATCAGGTCCGAATGAGAAGAAAAACTTTTTGAAACTATGTTTTCTCCAGGGAATTGCTCTTTCAACAAGATGGTTTTCACTACTGCTAGGTTAACATGCTGGGGAGCTGGCAACATTTCCAAAACCTTATTTTCTAAGATGTGATTTAAATCTTTGGGCATAGCATGTTCTTTGGCAGCTCTCAGGAAAGGCTGTTTCTCAAATGTTTCCAGGTCACCTGAACTGTCAGCTGCTCTGAGTGGGATGTCAGTATCATCAGAGGAAGCTGCATTTCTCATTGAGGAGCATTCCCTCAAGCCATCAGAAAGCAAGTCTGACAGTTCTGCAGAACTGTCCTGCTTTCCTTTTTGACCTTTTGAGACTGGTGGTTCTTTTGATGAATCCAGGGTCAAAGTTCCATATCCATGGGGTGATAATTTGTTTTCCAGATCTTCTTCTATAATAAAGTTGAATTGAAAGGCCATTCTCTTATTATATACACACAGTCTTTATCAAAGGATGATGCTTCAACTGCTAGATGGGATTTAATGGCCTAATGATTCACACAATCAGTGGGATCAATGTCTGTTAGCTGCTTATCCACCACTGGATATATTTAGAGAGACTTCCAAAAACTTTTCAGAGGCCTTTGTTCCTCTTTCAATTCAGTCCTGAAAGTGGGGGTGGGGAAGAGAGAGAGAGAGAGAGAGAGAGAGAGAGAGAGAGAGAATGATGATTTATAAGGAGAAGATAAAATACAAAAACAAACACAATAACAGCTATAACAGCAACCACCTCTACCAGAACAAAAGATAAAGCCCATGATTTTTAGACAGGGCAGACTAGCTACTCGGTGTCTTTTAGCTTCCTTGTGCCCCCTAAATTTCCAACAGTCTTCATCTTTTTCTGTTAATCTGCCTCAAAACAAAAAGCAAGCAAGCAAACAAACAAAAAACAAAACAGTTTAAGGTCTTATTTGGGTAAGAAGGACATTCATTTACAGACACAGCAGGTGTGATCTGGTGTTTGTAAATTCACCCATAATTCTAAAAGGCATGTGACTGGAGGAATGGATAAAAGCTAGGAGTGTAGAAGGTAAAATCAATTGCATAGAAACATTTTCTGCAACGTGCCTGAAAACCCGTTTTAATTTGCACATTTCTAAAAGGTAGGATCTTTGTTCATTTGGCAGGAGCTGTACAGAGGGAAGAACTCGCACTACTATATTGAATTATTCCTACTTTCCAACCCTCTGCCCTGTTGTGCTTAGAGTCATTCCCGGTTACAGGTCCAGCTCACCCTACGCGCAAAGTCCCAAAGCCCCTGGCACTGAGGGTAACAAACCTGAGGACTTCTGGTCTCAGCACTCTAATGGCAGAAGAGATGTTGGGGTGAAAGAAGTTCGCGGCCTCTGGGACTCGTGGCAGAGCTCGCCTTCAGAACGCAGCACACACCAGCGAGATGAGTCCTCCGATGGCTAGAGAGGACTCCGACGCGGAAGGGACGAGGGGCCTCCTTCCTATGGTTTATTGTGGGCGGAGCGCTCTCAAAGCCTGCCGGGAGGGCGTGATTGCCGTTCTAATTTGTGGCGGGAGCTGTAGTAGTCGGCAGGTGGCTGACGGCGGAAGGATGTCTCAGGACGACGAGGTGGCGGCGAGCCGGGCCATGCTGGAGGAACTCAACAGCTGGTCACGGGAGGTGTGCCGCCGGGAACTGCCATCGGTGCTGCCCCGGCTCCTCATATCCTTGGAGGACGCCGAGGGGTGGGCGGGCCGCGAGCCTTCTCCTGCCTCCATGAAGCGGGCGGCCTGTGGCCGCGCTCGAACCCTGGTGGAGGGAGCGGGGCAGCAGTGGGTGCAGGGCCTAGGCCCGCCTGGTGTGGTCGGACGGTGGGCGATGGCGACTGGAACGTTGGAAGATGACTGGCGTTCTCACGCCTGTTCTCCGAGTTCCCTAGTCTTCCACAGGCTGCGCCTGCCGCCCAGTGTGGGACACAGACGTCAGGCCTGAGCGTCACTTCACTGTCGGCGCTGGCGTTCAGGATCTGAAGTGTGAGCATTGAAGGGTGTAGTTGTAGTTATTCCGTGGGAGCATTAAAGGATATAATGTAAACAGATAATGCTTTCCCCCTTCGAACCGGTTCCCTTTTTAGAAGGCGGTGCTTCCGGTTTTGGCTTTAATCGTGTTGGAATTGCGTGCTGTCAGATGCAAATGATATTAGCGTCATGCTTTGTGTTTGTAACTGGAAGCCTACCCCCTTCGTGTAAAAGGATGATTTTAGGATTGTCTTTGATTCCACCTTCTATATAAAATTACATACATACACAACCCCTCCAACATCAAAAGACCTTCACTTACTCTAGAGTGTAAACCCTGGGCAAGTGATGTTGCACAATCAATAAAACAAGTATTTCTAGCATGTTCAAGTCATTCCTTAGGCCTTAGCAAAATCGATTGTGTCCGATTTTTTTTTTTTTTAATCCTCCTTGTGCGGATAAGGAGTTATTTTGTTTTTTAGATAAGGTCTTGCTCTGTAGCCCTGGCTGGCCTAGTACTAGCTACCCAAAGCAGGCTAGTCTTGAGTTTGCAGTGATCTACAATGAATATGTGTGCTAGCCTGGAAGGGTTATTTCCCTCCCTCCCTCCCTCCCTCCCTCCCTCCCTCCCTCCTTCCTTCCTTTTATTTTTGGTAATTTCCTCCTGGTTACTGCTGTTTTCCTAGTCCAGGACATTTATTTATGTAGTGCTTGTCTGGTATAATGCTGGGCTTAGAATAAGATACAATCTTTTTCTTCCCTCAGTCTTATAGGCATTTCCACTAAATCCAGAGCCCCATTGCTATCTACCGAGAACTCAGATTTCATTTCTAGGTTTTCTTCTATAAGTAAACCTTGAGTACTCTTGTAACCAGCAGATTGTTGTTTCTGATTCTAAAATTATCTGCCTGTCTCCACTGCTGCCGCTGTGATTACAATTTTTCTACTCTGGACTAGTAATGTTTTCCTTGTTTCTACTCAGTTCTAGAATCCTTTCTTGAGAAGAACAATTCACTTTCTTTCTCCTTCACCATTACTTATGTGGTTTAATTTTGAGAATGCAATCTGAACTTCAGGGTTCTGCAGGAAAATCTTATGGAGGCATTTTCTCACTCTAGAGTCCCTTCCAAATGACTGTAGCTTGTGTCAGTTTAACACAAAACTAGCCAGCTCACCACCCTATTAAAATTTTGGCATTATTTACAGTTTTCTTGAGACCATTTGGTCCTTTACTTATTTGCTCCTTCCCCATTTTCCCCCCTAATTGCGTTGTCAAGAATAGAGGCAGGCATTTGGTTTTGTTCACTGTTTTATCCTCACTATTGAGAATTTGACTGGCATATATGTGTTCAATAAAAATGCCTAGATGTCTCAAATAGTTTTTCAGCATGTTAGTATTTTACTTTCATGATCTTATCACTTACCAAAAGTAGTTTCATATTTTTCACTTTGTTTATTGTTCAGTCATTATCTGAATATTTGCATACTCATAATTTAATATTAATGGTGGAGTAGCAAGCTTTCTGAATTTAAACTGGAATTATTCCATTTGGCAGATCCTACCCTCCTGAACTGAAAATTTTTGGGTTACCTCATTTTGATTGCAGTTATAAAATATGCAAAGTAAAAGTTCAGAGGAGGGATTTTTGTGAGTTATGGACAACTGTTGACATTGTACAAGGGTTCTTATGCTTTTACAATAAAATATTTCTAACAATTCTCAGTAATGTATAAGTATAGCTTATATATTTATTAACTTGTATTCTAATTTAGTTGCAACAATGTGCAATCTCCTGCTACCAGCAGAAGATTTTCAGTTTGGTAAGGTTGGTAAAATAGGTATGTAAGTAACATGCAGAGTTAAGCCAGATACAACAGGCGGAAGTGCTAAGGAAAGTTTCTTTCCTGTTGTAGAAGCCAGAACTCTTGATTATTTCAGTACTGTCTTCCATCAGTCATAAGTATCTCTTGACTACATTTAGTTTGCAAGTTACTGAGCCCTGAGTAATTTTGAAACGTCTTCCTTAAAATTTTCACAAAACCTTTGTTTATCTGATAAAGGATAAAATTTTCAGAGGTAAAAATCATCAAGAATTTGGGTATAACTTCAGTCTATTAGAGATTGTCGGTAAATTTTCAGGGTCCTTTTTGAATTTGTTCCTTAATTTGTATTTACTCTATGTATCAGCATTCTGAGAGTTGGATTGAACATATACGTAAGTAAAATTATTTTGTGTATATGATATATGTATGTCAATAGATATGACTGTAGATTTATGTTGTCTGCAACTTTAATCTTTATTGTGGCTTCAGTAGCTTTCTGTTGCATAAAATAATCCAATTTTTGCAGTCATAGTATTTTTAAGTTTTAAATTCCATTTTTGATGATCTGTAAGCATATTGAAAATTTTATGTAGTGAATAGGTCTGTTAGAACCCTTAGCCTTTTAACATATTTAGTGACATTTAGAAAATACTCTGAGTTAGAAAAAGTTCATTGTCTAGACTCTAGATGGTGACAAATTTGTCATTTGGAAATTTTTACTCATCTCCATCTGTTTCATGACTTCTTATAAGAAACCTGTTTTCTGGTGTCCATGCATGCTATGGCATATGTGTGCATGAACTTACTACACATTTAAACATGTATACAAACAGAATCACTTTTAGAGAAAAGATTATGATGGCAACTATGTCATTTCATTCCTTACATTTCTGTCAGCCCAGCTATGAGGCATTATTTATATATCTGTCTATATAATTGTTGAAATTTGAATTTTGTCACTTTGGAAACATGTTTTTAAAAATGTATTTTAATGGTAGGGGATCCTGTTTAGTAGAGGCATCATTACCCATTTAACTTCTTTAGCTTTTTAGCTTTTCTTCAGTTGCTGGATAAAATGACTGTTTTGTCTCCCCTCCCCCCCTTTTTCTATTATATGTTTTACAGTGAAATACTTAAGTTTCTCTGTAGAATATGGTATATGACTTAAAAACTTTGGGTTGACATTATTTACATATTCTCATTTGATAAAGGGCAGCGACTTACTGACATGGTTTGGTATTTTTTACAAAATGTTATTTTCCTTTATAGGAATTTTGAAAACCATTATTGATATGTTTTTACCTCATATGAACCACCTGACACTGGAACAGACTTTCTTTTCTCAAATTTTACCAAAGGTACATTTTTATGTTAATTTACACAATGTAGAAGTTGTTAAAATCTAGTCTAAACTTTATGTAATCTGTTCCTAATTATTTAATTCTCTTAGTTTTCTAATATATCAAATATACAAGTACAGATTAGTAGTAAAAATATTCACTGTTTGATATCCTTCATAGACTAGGGCTATAATACAATTAAGCTTTTTGTATATAAAGCTGTTCTGTGGTGTAACATTTCATTGTGATGTGTGGAGTCTGGGGCTAGATAACTCTCCTAGTAGCTACATAAACCTAGTTACATGACGTTTTTATTTGTGAGTTCATTACTATAAAGTGATTTTTATATCACAAAGGGTGAGCTAGTCAAAATGTAAACGAATACTTCCTGGTGGGATGGTACACACCTTTGATCCTAGTACTTGGGAGGTAGAGGCAGGAAGATCTCTGTGAGTTCAAGGCTAGCCTGGTCTTCATAGAGAGTTCCATGACAGCCAGAGTTACATAGAGAGATCCTGTCTCACAAAACAAAAACAGACTATATAAATGGTTTCTAAATGTAAGACTCAGTATAAATTCATAATCAATACCAAGAAATGTCCTTGTAAATGCCATAGGAGTTTTTGTTGATTAAGGTCATTGTCTTTTATTTTACAGAGTAGTACTTGAGCTTGTTACATCCCCAGATGAACTTTGAATGAGTTCTTTTTCTGTTACAAAATACCTTGACACCACAGACATGAAAAGCAAAGCAAGGGTGGAAGCTATGTTTAAGGACTCTGGTTAACTGTGACAGGATAGGTGTTAGTAATGAATAATCAGATCATTTTGTTGTCTTTATTTTTCCTTCTAAGATAAGTCTTTTTTCTAGTGATTTCTATTCCTGTTTATAAGCTGATTTGTTTTCACAGACTATAAAATTGTTTGATGGAATAATGTGTGAATTAAATACTCAAGCTGGAGAACTCTCAAGCCAAAATTTAGAGATCCAGGTCACCCTAAGGAATATTTTACAAGTAAGTAAGTATAGTAGAAAGAGAATGGAGCTGGGTTTCATGACATGCTTAAGGGAGGAGATGCTAAAGTTTTAAGGGCAGACGGTATCTTGAACCAACCTTTCCTTTTTTCCAGACAATGGTGCAGATCTTAGGAAGCCTTACAGGATGTGTTCAGCATGTCTGTACCACACAGGACTCCATCATTCTAGAAAATATTCATAGTCTTCCTTCATCCATCCTGCATATAATCAAAGAGACATTTGTACATTGTAAGGTGAGTAATGGATCTATGTAGAGTATAATTAGCCTGGACTCTTTCTGCAGAAGTGCTGAATAAGACTTTACATTTTAGTTGATATTACTGGGACAGACTTTTCTGTTGAGTGAAGATAGACACAGTGTTTAACAAGTGACTAAAAAAATCCTTTTGGAATTGAGTTTCCCTTTCCTAAAGAAAACAAAGTGGTTAAGATTTATGTTTAACCACAGGAATCTTGAAATTGTTCTTTTACATAGCAAAGGGGGTTACTTAACTCAGTCCATCTTAACATTACTGAGGCAGCTTTAAAACACGAAAGATGGCTAAAGAATTTGAACAGTATAGGCAGTTTTGTTATCAATGTTTTGTTGGGTAATGGCAAATTGCTTACTAACTAGACTTTTGTGTGGTGATGGGGTGCTAAAATAGACACTTTTTACATTCTTGAATCTATCATAGTACGTTTAATAAAGTGTGGTTCTGTCAGAACATTAAAGTTATGATCTCAGTCTCTAATAGTATGTACTAAATTAAATTCGAAGTTTGAGCTGTTTGTGATCTGTTTCTCTCATTTTTATATTTTGTGATCAGAATACCGAATCTTTGTATTCTGGGAGCTTACATCTAGTGTCAGACCTTCTGCAGGCTTTTTTCAGGGAGGCCTATTCTCTCCAGAAGCAGCTGATGGAACTGCTGGACAAGGTTTCCATGGGCCCTTCAGTAGACGAAAATGACATTTTTTTGATGGTAGAAGGTGAGCAAAGAATTGTTGATGAGAATGGCTATAGGTCATTAATCAATTAAATCCATCAAGCTAATGCTTCTATTGATGCATGCTTGCTTTGGTATAAAAATAATTAAATCTTATTAGGTAAATTTTCAATTTTGTAAATTTGTAAAATTTAGTTTTTATACTTTATTATAGATCTCAATATCCAGGTAAAATAGTAGGTAATTTCCACACAAAAGATTTAATAAATAACGGATGTATGTAACTATACCCTTTAAGCTACTCTGTATTCTGAGAAAGCAGTTTTTAGCTGTTTTTCTCCTTAACCCATTAACAAAGGGGGTTGGGGAGGAGTTTAAAATCCTTTCTGGAATTTTATGTGTGTGTGGTGGGAGGTTTATGAATGTATACATGTACACCCATTACAAGTTCTGGGTGGAGCCTGAGCCATATAGTAAAGCCCTGTCTCACAAACACAATAAAAAACAGCTACAGATTGTAATCTGTGCCATTGATTTCATCATTCACTAATGCATTATGATCTAGAATTTAAAAAAATAATGCACTAATATAGGAAAGCAAAGATTATATTCCTAACTTTAGTGGTAAGAGAATAGGTTGATTTGGGGCACTTACTAGGTACCTTTTATTCTTTAAATAATCAACCTGAAAATCTATTCTTTAAAATAATATATGTATGTATGTATGTATGTATGTATGTATGTATTTCACAATTTCATGTGCCTGCAACTTAGGCTGGCATTATCTGTAGTAATTTTCTGTTCAGCTGATCCATTCCTGTATTTACAGCTAAGAACTTCACTCACCTCTTTCTGTTTGCTGAGATAGAAGTGAGAAAGTCGTGCATTTTAACACAGGGTCAATCACATTGTGGCTTTGTGGTTGCCAAGGATGGCAAGGGAGGACAAGTCCCAGCACATCAAAACTTGGCTTGCTTTGCTTGATTATTGTTCCTTTTATCAAAACAAGTTATAGATATATAACTGGAGACAATATTATGGCTACAGGAGGTGCAAGTTACCTAGCAGAAACAGAATAGAACATTTGCATGAATGTAAGTTAGTATAAATTAGTTGGAGTTCTTGTTGGATTTTCTTAGCAGTGTCATTTTTTTTTAAATTAAAATTGTATCTATAGACTATTTCAACTAAAATAGGACTTACGTTTTATTCCACTGAACATTTTATAATAGGACATAACTTTTATTTCACTGAACTTCCCTGAGACAAGGTTTCTCTGTGAAATAGTCCTGACTGTCCTGGAACTCAGGCCAGTCTTGAACTCACAGAGATCTGCCTGCCTCTGCTTTCCAAGTGCTGGAACATTTTTTAATAGGACATAACTTTTATCCCACTGAACATTTTTGGTTTTAATTATCATTGGGCATCTAAAGATTGCAAAATCAATATTATTTTTGAAACCTTAAAAAATGACATTTATTTTCAGTAATTATTTGATCTGCTTATTCTCAAACTAGTACATACTTTAATTCAGTCAAATATTCATATGTTCACTTAATACATTTAAATATAAGAGAATACCATCTCATAAAACATTTGATTATCCTGAGAGGTGTGTTATCCTTCTTTTTAGTTATTCATTCATTATTGGATATCTGCTCTGTTATCTCCAGTATGGACCAAGCATTTCATGCCAATACATGGAAGTTTATAATTAAGTAAGTTTGTTTGATTTTCTTTTTCATACTGTATTTTCTATATCTCAAATTCTAAATACTTCATGGTTTTTAGATTACATTTGAAAAAGTTTATGTGGTTGTATGGAATACTCATTGACTCTGCTGCTTGATAATTCAGATATTATATATGTAGCTACCAAACTGAATTCCTCTATACTGTTATCTTTTCAAAGAAAAATAAAACACCCCTACTATTGTAGATAGTTAGCTGAAATAACGAACCATGAACCATAGTATGCCTGAATCATGGAGAGAAACTCAGTGTGATTCCTCTAAAATCAGGAACAAGACAAAGCTTTTCACTCTGTCTGTATCTCTTCAATATTGTACTTGAAGTTCTAGCTAGAGCATTAAGACAATAAAAGGAGATATAAATTGGAAAAGAAGAAGTCAAACTTTCACTATTTGCAGATGATATGATAGTTTACCTAAGTGATGGGGAAAACTCTACCAGGGAACTCCTACAGCTGATAAACAACCTTCAGCAAAGTGGCAGGATACAAGATTAACTTAAAAAAATCTGTAGCCCTACTATATATAGACGATAAAGGGGCTGAGAAAAATCAGAGACATATCACCCTTTACAGTAGCCACAAACAACATTTTTGTAACATTGTTTCACAGTACAGAGGACTTTCTTAGCTTATCATTTATCACAACTAATCTGTTCTTAAATTTATTTAACATTCTTATATTAGGCCATATATTCCACATAGCTACAGCAAAAATTATACCCATTTGATTTATTTTTTTATCTTCAATACCTAGCAGATTGCTTGACAAATACAAGTTAAATTAGTATTTTACAAAGACAAATTTAGCCACTAGCTTCAAAGATAAAGTTGACACATCTTAATTGTACCATGTTTAATATGTAATACATTGTGTTACTGCAAATGTTGTATAAAGTAGATGTTCTTTGGGCCCGAGTTGATTGATGTGATCACTTGTCAGTTCTGGTGATTTTATTCTTTTTATCCATTTAGGCAGAGCCTTAAACACCAGTCGGTTATAAAGAACCAGTTGAAACACAAAGAGATAATTTCTAGCTTGTGTGAAGACATTGTTTTCTCCTTCCATTCATGTATACAGTTAGCTGAGCAGATGACACAGTCCGCTGTACAGGTAAAATATAATCTAACGACACTACAAAGGGGAGTTTTTATTTTGGCAGTTATTAAGTTTTATTTGAACATAAAGAGTATTGTCTAGTGTTTTAATTATTTTCCCTTAAATAAAATCTTTTCCCTTAACTAAGATAAAAAAAATTACTTTTTACTTAGATCATTGTGTTATAGTCACTTCTTTTTATTTACCTGCCCAACATTTTTCCATACCTACTTGGTCAGAGCATTCTCCTCAGAATCTTTTGTTCTTTTCCGACCTGGAACAAAATTGTGGTTTCTCTGTTTTTTATGTTTATTTAAGGTTTTCCTAATATAGACATTGTCAACCTTTCTGTCATCAATGTATCACAGCCTTTAACAGTATGTATGTTTATTTTCTTTTAAAATTGATAGATAACATTTCTTTTGATTTCAAGAAGTTACAGTGTTGAATTGACATCACCTCTATGAAGTAAGACTGTTCTAAGCATGTGGTATAGGGTTGTTGGAAATTATAGTTCATCTTCTTATAAAAGTGTTATATAAGCACAGTGACTTTTGTTTTAGTCTATTTAGACTACCTGAGTTATTTAGACATACCTGAGTTAAAGGAATGATGGATCGAGGAACAATATGGGACTTTTATGGGAAGATGAGATGAATATTTCTTCCCCAAATGGCAATAGTACGGCTTTTTCTTGTTGCTGACCAACAATTGACAGCAGGTTCCTTTGTGTATGTGTCTTTCCCTACCAAACAGCTTTGGGGTTAGAAGGGTAGAAGACTAATCAAAGTTCCCAGACTGTTGGCAACTATTGCTGGAACAGGGATAATCTGGAAAGACAGATCCCGAAGAAATAAATATAGGACTTTGAAAAGGAGTTCTGAAACATATAGAAGTGAAGGATAGTTGTTGGAAGAGGTCCGAATTGTCTCTCTTGGTCATCTTTTTTTTTAGATGCCTTCATTCCTCCTTTTTGTTTTTTTTATTTCATAGTTCCCAGGACTTTGTGTATCCTCTATCAATGACAGAGAACTTGTCCCTCTTTTCACCTTATATAAGTCAATGGTTCACAACCTGTGGGTCATGACCCCTTTGGGAGTCAAATGACCCTTTCACAGGAGTTGCCCAAGACCATTGAAAAAACACAGATACTTACATTATGATTCATAGCAACAAAATTATAGCTATGAAGTAGCATGAAAATAATTTTATGATTAGGGGATCACAGTATTAGGAAGGTTGAGAACCACTGATAGAGACCTGTCTTCATTCTCAAAATTCTTTTCAATTTCCTTTTTGCTTGATGCTGCAGACTCATCAATTAGTAGTTCAAGAGTGAAATTAGGTTCCTGACCAGAAGAGAGAGGGAAACCCAAAGTAGTATAGCCTGCAGTGTCAAGCTGAAGTTTCTGTATAGAGTAGTTAATTGTGTAACATTGTAATATATAATAAATAAGTTGGCTGTATGAAAATGAGGGAGTTTGAAACTTTTGACTTAGTTGTGCAAATTTTGGACTGATATATGTGACTAATCCATTCACTGATTGAAAGGGATTTCTAGGATAGCTTGTATGTCTCTAGTATTTCACTCATTATAGTCTAGTTAACAGTACCCTCTGTTTATTCACGGTTGACATTTAGGGTGTTTTCCCAAGCAGTAATCATCTTTTAGTCTTACTGTTCCTTCTACAATAGAATACCTGAAACTAAATCATTTGGAGACAACAGCAATATAGTTCTACAGTTTGGAAGTCAAGGAAGGCCAAGATCCAGTCTCAAGCAGTTGTATGGTGAGGGCTTGCTCAGCTCAGGAAATGTCTCTTTGCTGCATTCTCCCATGGTTGAAAAGCTAAGACCACCCCCCTGCAACCTCTGTTTATAAGAACACCACACCTAGTCATGAGATAATCACTTCCTCAAAGGCCCTAACCCTTAACTTAGTATGCACTGAGTGTCCATTTCCAGCATAGTTTGACGTGACACCAACATTTGGACCAGTACCCTGCTTTCTGAAATGCCATAGTAAAGCCAGTGAATTTAATTGTAAGTATGGGATGTTTTCTGGGCCTGTCATTAAAAACAAAAACTGCATAGTTTAAAACAACAGAAAATTAGTCTCTTTGCCATTCTAGAGGCATTGAGTTCTTAAATGGCAACAGGGTCACGTTCTGTCTAGGGAAGAATCTGTTCTGTACCTCCTTTCTCACAGCTTCTGATGTTGCTGGCAGACCTTGGCATTCCTCACTATACAGATGCAGATTCCAGTCTCAGTACCCATCTTTATATGATATATTCCTGTGTCTTTCCATCTTAAGACACTGGTCATATGGGGTTAAGCGTGCCCTTAAGTTTGGATTAGACTTAACCTGATTATGCCTGCAATGAATGACCTTATTTCCAAAAGATTGAGTTTTTTTTTAAATTACATTGAATTAGACTTCTCATAAAGCTTTTAGACACCAAGTCAGCCATTCATTTTCAGAAAAATGTAAAATTTATTTTTAAGGCTCTCAATTTAATATCTACTACAAATTCTTGGAATTGCAACTATAATTTTTGTTTGGGAGTGCTAAGGAGTTTACTCAGTGGGTAAAGTGCTTGCTGCTCAAGTATAAGGACCAGGTTTTGATCCCTAGTACCTTAGAAGCATGCTTGAAACCCCAGGTTGGGATAATGGAGACAAATTAATCCCTAGGGCTCACTGGCCAGTTACTGTAGATAAACTGACAAGCTCCAAGTTCACTGAGAAATCCTATATGAAAAGTAAGGTGGAGTAAGTTAGAGGAAGATGCCCCCCCCCTCTTTCCTCCCCTTCCTCTCCCTTCCTCCCTCCCTCCCTCTCTCTCTCTCTCTCTTCCCTCCTCCCTCTTTTCCTATTTAGGTTGATATAGTGCTTTCTGGAGGTAAGGGGAGTTGAAGACAGGTCCTTGAGTTCTAGCCCGGGCTAGCTTCAAACTTAGTCCTTCTCCCTTTTCCGTCTAAGTGCTGGCCCTCATACAATGCTGCTTGTTAAATTTTTGTATTATTTCGAAAGTAAGCACATACTCTAGTATTTGTAGTCTATTTTCTGCTACATTTAGATTTTACCAGTATTTAAAGAAAGGAAATGTGTTTATTCATTTAAAACACTTAAAAAATGTTCCTGGCTTCTATTACCTACTTACTTTAACAGTTAAATAAATCATATAGGAATGTGAATGTATTTATATAGTTTACTTGCTTTTTAATAAATATTAAAATAAAAGCTTTAGATTTAATAGGTAGCATGCTACTTAGTAATGAAGGAAGGTAAGACTTCAGCCACAGTCTTCGTGATTTTCCTTGTATCACAGATTAGCACTAGGGGAGCTTGGAATATTAAGCATATAATGTGGTTCCTTCAAAAAGGATGTACAACCTGTTACCTGCCTGAAAGACTGGAAGCAGACTTTCTGTTAACTATGTGCTATTGTGTGGTCCTGATCCTCCCCCCAAGACACTTACCATAAGCTTGCTTTTCTCAGCCAGTTTGTAGAACCTATCTTTCTGGAAGATGTCTTGTGTACTTTTCAGAGAGAGTTCAGTTTAGTCAACTGTGTTGGATCTTTTTTTTTTTTTTTTTCTTACTTTGTTTCTCAAGGAGACTTAATGTATGCTTTATTGTGCACATGGGACTGATTTGAGTATCAGTAGGACCATTTTCACCAAATTGTGCTGTGCTTAAATATGCCTAAAATGAACTACTTAGGGTCCGACTACCAGCTATTTTGCTGTGTTGAACCAAACTGCCCTTTTGCCTCCTGCAGTTGCAGAGACCCCACAGGTGATAACAGGCTGAGTGTTCTATTTCACTCTTCTTGACAATGCCAGGTTGCAAGAGAATCTGTGCTGATAAAAGTTGACATTAGTGTAGATTTGTCTTTAATCTCTGTTCTTAAAACATTTGTGTGTGTGTGTGTGTGTGAGTTTGTGTTTGTGTTTCTCAGGGCACTCATGGGGAATTGGTTTTCTCCTGCCACTTTTCTGTGTAGTCCATGTATGAAACCCATTATCTTTAAGCTTGTGTGGTAAGCACTTATATCTCTTGAGTCATCTCTCCAGCTTTTATTCTCTTTATTTATTTATTTATTTTTAACTTGGAAAGCACTGTATAACAGAGTTCAAGTCAGTAGTATAAAAGTATATAAGAGGTGAATTTCTGTTTTCACAGTTTTTACTGCAGAAAACCATTTTCAATTTATAATGAAAGTCAGATGTAAGTGGATTATTCTGTTAATGGATAACTCAGTTAGATTTTTCTCATAGTAGGAAAAGAACAAAACATAGTCAGTTAACATTAATATTAAGTTAGGCTGTTTTCATGTGAAATAATTCTCAAAATTAAAGATAATTCATTTAATTTAACTTTATGATGCTAACTTAAAACTCTTTGTCCATGCTTGAGATTTTTGAGTTAGGACAGTGTATTTGCCCTGTTCTTCATACTATATGGTATTATAGTATATTAGTAGTATGCCGTTAATATTTTTAGTCACTCTGTGTGATGGATACTTGGTTCACTTCAGTTCAAAAACATTACATGCTTGGTACAGTATTTTCATGGTATGTATATCTAGAAACAAAGTTGCTAGTGAAAGAATTTTGATAGTTTAACTCCTGATATAAGTGAACAGTATTATTTTTTTTCCTTTCACTAGCAATTAGAGAAAGCCCTTATTAATCTGCTTTTCTCCCCAGCTCATGTATCATTTCTTTTTAAGCTTTGCTAATCAAATAGTCTTCAGTCCTTCTTCCCAAAAGATACATAATTAGGCTGTCATTTTTCAGTATTACTTATTGGCTGTTGTAGTCTCTTTTCTCCCATTGCATTACCTTCTCCTTTTGATGAATTTGATCACCATATAACAAAGAACTATAACAAATTATTTAAATTTCACTTTCAAATTAGTAAGATAAGTTGTAGTTCATTTTTAGTAATGCATAGTACATAAAGTATCTCTCATTAACTGGTAGGAATAAAACAATACAGAGAATTATGATTTCATGTTTCTATAATCACTTTGTTTCCTAAGTCATTTTAGAAAATGTCTCCTCTACAGGTTTAGCTAATTTTACATTATTATACTTATTTCCTTATGGAACAGGATAATGCTGATTACAGAATATTTCAGAAAACACTCAAATTGTGTCGTTTCTTTGCTAACTCCCTTTTGCACTACACTAAGGTAAGTCCCGTTTTTATAATACATAAATATAAAACAAACACTAAATTTGAAATCGTCCTTTCATGTATGTCAGGGTGGGCTTGCATGTGTGTCCACAGGTGGAGGGCAGTAGGTGACATGGAGTGTGTCTACTGTTCCTCTCCACCTTGTTTTATGAGGCAGGGTCTTTCCCTGAACCTGTAGCTTGACAGTTTTGGTAGACTTGCTAGTGAGCTCCTGGAATTTGTCTAGTTTTATCTCCCAATGCTGGGGTTACAGTATGTCGTGTCATGACTGGCTTTTATGTGGGTGCTGCTGATTCACACCCAAGTCCTTTTGTTTTCCTAGCAAGTACTCTTACCTACTGAACCATCTCCCTACTCCTAAGCTGACCCAAACCAGTTATTTGAATATAGTTGTGAAGTTCCTTTTGAAGGTCTTATGGTTTAATACTATTCATTGTTAAATATTGAGCATTTATTATATTACTTATATTGTTAGCATCATCATTGGTATTTTCATTTTATTTTCTAAAAATTATTTCCATAAGTTAATTAAAATGTATAAGTCAATTTGAAAGAAATGGTTTAGTTTGTATTTAAGTACTATTTATAAAGCAGGGCATTGTGGTTCACTCCTTTAATCCCAGCACTCAGGAGGCAGAGGCAGGTGGATCTCTGTGAATTTGATGCCAGCATGGTCTTCTTTACACACACACACACACACACACACACACACGTGTGTGTGTGTGTGTGTATATTATTTTTTCTTATTTTACATATCGATTCCAGTGCCTCTTCCTCCCATGTCCCTGACAACCCCCCCCCCCGACTCCCCCCAACTCCACAGGGAGGGTGATTCCAGGAGGGATCATCAAAATCTGTCAGGTTATTTGGAATAGAGTCTAGGCCCTCCCTCCTGCCCCTAGCTAAGGGAGTATCCCTCCATGGGGAATGTGCTCTCAAAGTCCTTTTGTGCACTAGGGATACATCTTGGTTCCACTATCAGAGGTCCCTAAGACTGTCCAGGCCTTCTGAGACCTGTGTTCAGGGAGTTTGAGTCCCTATAATGCTGGTTTCCCAGCTATCAGTCTGGGGTCGATGAGCTCCCCCTGTTCAGATCAGTTGTCTCTGTGGGTTTCTGTAGCCTGGTTTTGACCCCTTTTCTTATCACTCCTCCCTCTCTGCAACTGGATTCCAGGAGTTTGGCTCAGCGTTTAGCTGTGGGTGTCTGCTTCTGTTTCCATCAGCTACTAGATGAGGGCTCTATGATGGCATATAAGTTAGCTGTCAATCTCATTATCAGTGAAGGGCATATACGGTAGCTTTTCCACTGTTGCTCAGATTGTTATTTGGGGTCATCCTTGTAGGTCTCTGGACATTTCTCTAGAGTCAGTTTTCTCTTTAAACCTCTAATGGTTCCCTCTATTATGGTATCTCTTTTATTGCTCTCGTCTATTCGTCCCCCGACTCAATCCCACATGTTCTCTCCTCTCCTCCCCTTCTCTTTCTCCTAACTCCCTCTCCACTCACTTCCCCCACCACCACCCCCAACTCCCAATATGCTCAGGAGATCTTGTTCCTTTCCCCTTGTGTGAATCTTCAAAGTGAGTTCCAGTATAGCCAGGACTGTTACAGAGAAACTATGCCTTGAAAAACCAAACCAAACCAAAACAAAAGATACCCACAACTTTAAGTTATTTCTACCATATTTCTGAGTTAGGTTTAACTTTAAATGTTTAAACCCTTCACACACACACACACTTTTTCTGTCTCTCTCTCTTTCTCTGGGTATTCTTAGAATAACTGTGATATTTAAAGTTGTAAGAACAGGATGAATGCCAGGTGTGGTTGCGCACACCTTTAATCCCAACACTTGGGAAGCAGAGGCAGGTGGATCTGTTTGAGGCTAGCCTGGTCTACAGAGATCTAGGATACCAGGGCTGATAGAGAAATCCTGGCAGAAAAAAACTATTATCCAAATTAATATTTTTAATTTTTTAAAATTCTTTGATGGTTTCATATATGTATATATGTATTTATGAAGTTTTATTATTTTCACTCTCTATTAATTTTTCTCATCCTCCTCACTCACTTTAGTGCTTATTCCCAAGTACCCTCCTACTTTTAGGTTTTGAAACTTTTTGTTTTTTTCTCCTCTGGCTTCTCCTCCCAGATCCCTCTTATCTCTCTGATCATCCAGCTTTATGTTCTTTCTCTTTCTTAAAAAAAAAAAAAAAAGCTCTCCCCCCAGAAACAACAACAAAACCCACAAAAAATAAAACAACCCCCCAATGAAAATTAAAAGAAAAACAAGCAAAAGGCCAATAATACAAGAAATGCTAAAACTAAACAGTAGAGGTGGTCCTCAGTAAGTGAGAACTCCTGATTGTGGGTATTGCTGGCTTTAACTGCCAAGAAGTTTAGGTGTTTATCTTCATCTTCCATTTTCATGTAAGCTTTCTTTTTATAATTGAATGTGGCGTATTCAAATTTTATTCTGTATGTTATGGTGGGGAGAATATGAATTAGAAAGTCATGTGACATACAAAGAATGAATAGAATTTTTTATTTTAGGAATTTCTTCCTTTCCTGTCGGATTCTTGCTGTATTTTGCACCAGCTTTATCTTCAGATATACAGGTAAAAAGGAGTGCATTGTGGTTACTAAAGTATAATAGTGCTATTCTTTCTATCTAAATATACATACTTCTCTAACTAAAACATTAGAGTGATTTTTCTTAATGTTTCAGTAAAGTTTCACCTACTTGCATAAAATGCTGGGAGATGAAAGCTTTTGAAGGATACAGTCTGTGTGAGTTTTACTTTGTTTTTAACTAGTTTTTAAAATGACTAATAAAGAATTGGTATGCTGATAAATACCAAAGCATTTGTGTATGGGTATAGTTTATATATGCATATACACACACATACATACTAATATATATACACACATGCATATGTATAGTTTATTATATATATTTATATTTTGTATCATCATAGTTCTGTTTTGGTAGATCTGGAAATTTACTAAGAATTATAAAGTTAATTTGGAGGGGTATTGCAGCAGATGGAACACAATAGACAGGAATAGTAAAGTTAAAATCAAGTCACCAGAAGTGGCAAAGACTGAACAGATTATTAAGGTCATGAAGAACAATATAAATATAACCTGACACATGTCCACATGTCAGTGTAGATTCAGAAGAAGAGAGAATGGATTTAAAAAAAAAAAAAATGAGCATAATGCCTAAGTGTTTTTATAACTTTAAGGTGTTTTCTTGTTTGTTTTTATAGGTTTTTTTTTTTTTGGGGGAGTGTATCTCAGCGATGAGTAAGAGTCATGTGTAAGATGCGGTATTTTAAACTTTATCCACTAATACTTTGTTAGGAACATTCTTGAGGAAGAAATGAAAAAGTAGAGAGATGGTTGATAGTTTGAAATAAAGTATTGAGAGTCAGGAAGGTTTAACAGAAGGAAATGGAAGAGCCTTTCTTCATGAGAAAGTTAATTTTATGTGCTTGTTTGGATTTGGACCCAGGTGCAGGTGCCTTTATCCATTGAGCCATCTTGCTTTCCATAAAGTTTCATTTAGCTTCAGTATAAAACTAAGCATAGTTGTGTGTAAGTGAAGATTTTCAGCTGTCCATTTTGTCATCTGGAAATTGAGGTAATAGTAAATCCCACTCCAGGGTTTATGTTTTGATTATGGTAACTTGTACAAAGTGCCTCATGTGAAACATTCAGTTTCTTGCCTCAGTGCCAGTGTTGGAACCTAGAAGAGTGGCCTGTATGAAGGCACTGGGAAGTCATATCTGCACAAGTTCCTAATTTTCATCAGCTAGTGTTAGGAAGCTAGAACATTCAAGGAATAAGAATACCAGTCAGCTTTTCATACTGTATGAGTATGTTGTCATAATTTTATCTTTATTAATATTTATTATACTTTTATGAGGTTTAAATTAAGTTTGTAAACTATCTCAAAAGGTCCTCTTTAGTGAGGGATTAATCACATTGACAGTTAACTTAACAGAGCGCTCAATTTAATACCTAAACCTGACATCTGTCAGTTCATTTTTCCAAAAGTCCTAACTTCTATCCCCGACACTTTTTTGTTCCTTGATGTTAATTAAAATTCCTTTTGTCACTGAGAATAATGGGAGCAATTAGAAGAGATCTTATATATACTTCCTCCTTATACCTGTATTTAGGCTCATAGAGTAATTTCCTCACTGCCCTGAATTAATTCTACATGTGCCTCATTATACTCTGTGTGTAATTCACTTACATGCTCAGGCAGTTCCTGAAGATAGTCTCTTTCTCTTTTGTGACATCAACCTGCCATCTCACTGGATCATTTTCATGAGTATGTAGCATATACTTTCCCCATTTCAGTATAAAACAATCCTGCAGTTGTACATCCTTTTGCAGTTTTGTTACCATTTGGCCTTACATTGCAATCCTCAAATGACATCCTCGAGAACTTTCTGTTCATTTTCCTTGATTTTTTTTTTTTTTTTTTTTACTGCATAACAACATATTGTATATTATAGTAGACTCCACATATATTTAAAAGACCTACAGTTGTTGCCTAAAAGGCAAATAGTACTGAATTTTCTTCTATGTTTTCTCATACATACATAAATATACCAGGTTTATGTGTAATAAGAGAACCACTATAGTGATAATGGTTGTTTGAATAGGGTAGTGTACTCTGGCCTCAAACCCAGTATAGTTTCCCTGCCTCAGCCTCCTGAATATTGAGGTTATCGGTGTGAGCTCTTAAAAACAACTTTGACTACAGGTGAGTAACCTAGAATATATCAGACCTATCTTTTTACATCGTTTTTACTAGTAGAATTAATATGTATATATTTACATTACTTTGAGGACATCATCATCAAATGGTATTAAAATGCCTCAAAATAGTACTAGATTTCTCTAGGAAATATTTTCTCTGTAACATTATACTATGTTATTTAGTTTCTAGGTCTTCACATCTTTCTGCTATCAATTCAGTATTTTGAACTTTTTTTCTATAAAATATGTACTTTTTATGCTTTTTCACTACTGTGACATGAGCTTGTAATACATTTATCTAAATCCAGAAAGTGGCTATTAAATGCATGAGGTTTTTTACCTTTTTTGCAGCAAGTTTCCTCCAAACCTATATGCTTCCAGAATTTCCAAAGCACAGCAGGAGGAAATAGCAGGCACTTTCCTTGTGGTACTGGACCCACTCATCAGTCAGTTGCTCACAACCCAACCTTTTGTGCAGGCAGTTTTGGATAATAAACTAGGTAAGCTTCAAAACAGATTTAAGTCATCTCCTTAATCATGGCATGCCAAATACAATTGTTTCCCTTTTAAGCAGTCACTATTTTGTGAAATTTTAAAATATTTAAAATTTATTGCACTTTTATTGAAACACTATTAAGTTATACTACTTTCTTTGTATAAAACAATCAAATTTCTGCAAAAAAAATATCTTGGATATGTTTGCCAATTTGTTTTAACTTAATATATGACTTTATTACCAAAAGACTTGCCCCGTGAGCTGCAGCTCCCACAAGTCCTACTCCTGGTTGTTGTCATGGATAAGCTGCCCTCTCAGTCTAAGGATCTACAGACCGTGTGGTGCACAGAAGCTACGGCTAGGTAACGTATTGTTTATATTTTATATTACCAGTGGGTTTGAAGGCCCTATTAATCTGAAATGGCCTTGAAATTAAGTGCAAGCCAGTTATGGTATGTGCCTATAAATCCCTCCTCTGCAGAATGCTGAGATAGAGAAACACTTGAGCTGGCATTTTGAAATCAGTTTGTCATATTCTACTTAATAGCTACTCTGTAGAAAAACTACCATGTAAATGATAATGCTAAAAATAGTTTAATTTATTCACTGATTATTGCCCCTTGGTTGGCATTAAAAACATTGGCTATAGATGCAAATAATAGCATATAAAAATGAGCTGCAGTAACTAGAGAGGTGGCATATCTGTTAAGAGAGGTAGCTGCTCAATAATGAGGATCAAAGTTTAGATCCAAATACCTGTGATCCAGACTCAGGGAATTTGACTCCTTTGGGTTTCCCTGGATATAAATGTGCAGTTACAGACACAGGTGCAGATTTACACACACAGATGTACACATGGGTATATGCATAAATAAAAATAAAGCTTTTTAAAAGCAGCTGTGATAGATGCTGTCCAGTGTCTCCCGGGAAACATCACTTGTCTTCAACCTCCTTCCCAGCACTGTAGTTCAGGTGCTAGTTTGTTACTGACTGAATTACTGTTAGGCTCCTAATTTTTCATTATCCTCTTGGTTGGTCTGGTTAGTCAGATTCAAACTGAGATGCTCAAAGTGTAGTAATGTTCAAACTTTGAAATTTTGCAATCTGTTCTATTATTAACTTGATACCTGATTCCTTCATTAAAATACACACACACACACACAATATTTTTGTTATTTGAGGATTTCATACATGCATACAATGTATTTTGATCATATTCATCCACGCATCTCACCCTAAAGTTTCTCTAACCTCCCATTAATTCCCAACTTTGTGTCCTCATGTGGTTTTATGACCCACTAAATACAGGTTATGCTGTCCATGTACTCATGGGTGTGTAGCCATTAGGTAGAATATGGTTGACCCACCAGGGGCCATACTCTTCAAGTAAACTAACTCTCCTTCTGTCAGAAGCCATCTACCTTCAGAAGCAAGGACTGTTGAGACACTTGTCTCCTGCACCTCCAGGCAAGGATGTTGATTGTGTAGGTGACCACAACTTCAGTGAGTTCATAAGTGCAAAATCCTGTCTTTTCTAGAAGATACTGTTTGATGCCTTTCCTCCCATGCTCTGACTTTTTAAAATTCCTCCTTTATTTTTAACATAACATATGAACTCAATTATATCAGATTGTTTTGTCTCTTACAGGCTTTTATATTTTATTTTTAATTTTACTTGGTCCCTTCATGAAAGTTTCAACTATTTCTATCTTAAAATGATCCTTACATGTATGCTTCAAAATAATACTTAATTTAGCTAAGCTCTTGTAAGAAACTTTTGAGTTTGATTTTATATAATTTGGCACTATTGTAAATGATGGGGACAGCTGACCCAAACTAGTGGGAGCTCACACACTGTGAAATGACAGCTGGGGAACTTGCATGGGACTGAACTAGGCCCTCTGATGTGCGTGACAGTTATGTGGCTTGATCTGTTGAAGGGAACCCCTGGCAGTGGCACCAGGACTTATCCTGGGTGCATGAACTGGCATTTTGGAGCCCATTCCCTACGGTGGGTTACCTTGCTTCACCATGATATAAAGTGAAGGGCCTTGGTCCTACCTCCGCATGGTATGCTAGACTTCTTTGACTCCCCAAGGAAAGCCTTACCCCCTCTGAGGAGTGGATGGGGGGTGGGAAGTGGGAGAGGTATGGGGGCAGGAGATGGGAGGGATGGGGAACTGGGATTGGTATGTAAAATAAAAATATATTTTTCTGTCAGTAAATTTATTTTTTATGTCTCTCTATACTTTATGCATTTCAATTACTATTGATTTTTATTTCCTGACATTTTGATTCTCTAAAGTAGTCCTGTATATGACATTATTTTACCTACTATTTGTTAAACTAATATTAATGACAGCCCAATGTTCTTGATTTTCCTGCAGGATGTCCCTATTCAACGCTATTTTCTATAATTTTGAGCGGTGTTCTGGTGAACTCTCTCTGACTGCTCATTTACAAGTAAAGCATAAAGGGCAAGCTGAGGTGTCTATCACTTTATATCAGCATGTTTGTGTTCATCTGTGTGCATTTGTTGCTTCTTTTCATCCCTCACTGTTTCCTGAGCTGGTAAGTGCACAGCTCTCTTTTCATTGAAATTATATTTGATATATAGAAGAACATAATGCGAGTTAATGACTATTGTAAAACCCAGTCATTTCAACTTGCACATTTTGTACTTTTGTGTCTTAAGAAATGGCAATTCTTGATCATATAATACTAGATATACTATTTAGCTACAACACTTGTTAAAATATTTTGCACAGGGAGGTATAAGAAAATCTCATGAGAAGTGGAAAACACAAGAAGGGGATGTTACCTAATGTGCTAGTTATGTTTCTGTTGCTATGGCAAAAAGCAGCTTGAAAAAGGAAGAGTTTGTTTTGGTTTGAAGTTCCACAAAAAAAGTCCACATAATCCCTGGGGAGGCATGACATTTAGTGGCCAGAGCAGGAAGCTGAGAAATCACATCTCAACCACACACAGGAAACAGCTCTTTAGAAGTGGAGCAAGTGTATATAAACTCTCAATGTTCCCACAGTTATATACTTTCTCCAGCAGGGCTTCATGTCCTAAAAGTTTCATAACCTCTCCTGACAGTGTCACCAACTGGGGACCAAATGTTCAAATACCTAAGCCTGTGGGGGACATTTTTCATTCAAACTACTGTACTATTTCATAAAAAGTAAATAGTACTATGTAATGCCTTATCTGTTATAGATGATTTTATTTTTAATGGAACTAGATTGTTAAAAAGGTTGAAAATACCTTAGAAAAAGTTGTCATGTTGCTTGAAAGCTTTCAGAGAATGGCTCACAGAGGTTAAGACTGGTTTCTTTTGCCCCTCAGCTCAACACAGTGAGTAACATATAGTTAGGTGCTGAACAGATAAAGGGATAATGTTATAGTTCTTTTAGATACTTTTAGATAGCATGTAGAGGTTTCCCACTGAGGGGCTTACTTTGATTCCAATAGTGCTTTCTGATTTAGAGTGAGAAATATATAATGTTAATATTTCATGAGCATCTGTCTAGTAACATTGACATTTCTGTTTTTTCATTAGGATACTGCTCTATTGAATGCTGTGCTTAGTACTAATATGACTACCTCACTGTTAGCAATGGATGTGTGGTGTTTCCTTGCTCGGTAAAAAGTGCCATTTCTGTGTTTGGATTGAGTTTTAGTAATGATCAACAGTAGATAGTTTTAAGTTAATGGAAAAGTTCTACTTGTAGAAACTTTTAATGGTTAGATTTCATGTCACTACACTAAGTTTGGAAACAGGTATCCTTTTTGGTTTTTAAATGTTTAAGCTAGTAGGTGAATGTTTAGGCAAATCTATGTATTATGATGTTCTTTGGTGATATTCATTCAGGTTGAACATGCCTAATTTAAAATCCAAAATATCTAAATTCCAGTGAGCACAGATGGTACAAACAGTGAAAAGTTACATTCTTTCAGACAGTTTAATGCTCAAGATTACTAGAAATATTAAATAAGTATTAAGTTATGTATATAGCCAATTATGAAAGATAAATGAGTTTAATGTTTAGTTTTGCCCATCCACAAATCTCATCACATATGTAAATATTCTAAAATCTGTAAAGTCCAAAACACTTCTGGTATAAGACATTTCAGATAAAGGATGTTCAACCTGTAATAGATCACATGTCCTCACTGGGGTTTTCTGTCTTCTTGCTCTTCTCTTAATTTCAAACTCAGTGACTCTTTTAATATCATAGATATGGAACTGCTGAACTTGGTGCACAACATGTCACCTTAGTGGCTCACCTGGTAAGTAGAATTAAACTGCCTAAAACACATACTTTTATATTTTCTTTGGCGATGAGATATTTATTTGCTTTTTTGAGACAGGGTTTCTCTGTAATAGCTCAGGCTATCCTGGAACTTGCTTTGTAGACCAGGTGGCCTTAAACTCACAGAGATCCACCTGTCTCTGCTTCTCAAGTGCTGGAAAGAGATATGATACTTTTTGAATGTTATTATAGATGGGAGAAATAATAGCCAAATATAATGCTAATTGTTATTAATTGCTAACTTAATGCTAATGCTAATACCATAAAAAGTAGCAAAAAAAAAAAAAAAAAACCCACCATATAAAGTGGATAATTTTGTCATTTTTAGAATTTTAGTTAGTTTGTTGTAAGGAAAAAAGTCTAGGTCATTTTACAATATGTTGAAAATTGAATGTAAAGTAAAAATGAAGATGTTGTAACAATTGATGACTAAATGTTCATCTCCTCTTTAATATAACCTGAGATTTCCTGTTGTATTTTAGTTAGGATGGTGTGAAAGGGATTCAATGATTGTGATCAGTGCTCTTAGGAAGAGTAGGTTTGTTACTGGCTATAAGCTTAAATGGACTTAATGGTTTCTTTATCTTTAATGGTGTTTTTTTAAAAATTATGAGATGTGTTCCATATGAAGTGCTTATGACCTTTTTTGTCATTGTTTTTATCCATAGTCTTAGGAAGAGAAAGTAGGTTTGTTACTGGGTATAAGCTTAAATGGACTTAATGGTTTCTTTATCTTTAATGGTGATTTTATTTTTTTTTTTTAAATTATGAGATGTGGTCCATATGAAGTGCTTATGACCTTTTTTGTCATTGTTTTTATCCATAGTCTTTTATAATGATCATATCTGAACCTGTCCACCCTTTGCTTCTTAGTAATTACTATATTTCTGCATGTACTTTCAATGAGTGTATATTGCAATGATAAGTAGCATAACCTGGAAGCTGACATCTGTACCTCTCAAGCTCACGGCCTGGTACTTACTATTGGAAAGCCTGACACATGCTCCACCAAAAAGAGAGTGATTCCTTACACATCTTAGAGCTCAGTCTTTGTTACTTACTTTTTTAAATAAAATAATTTATTCTTTTTAAATAATAAAAACATTACTTTTTAGTTTATATGTGCCTCTGTATTTATGGGCATGTAAATGCATGTTTCCACAGAGACCAGGGTTATCAGATCCCTGGGAGCTAGAGTTACAAGTCGTTTGTAAGTGGCCTAATCTCAGTGATGGGAACCAAATTTGGGTCCTCTACACATTCTTAAAGCTGTGCCATCTCTAGCCCCTCTTAATTTTTTTTGTTTGTTTTTTTTTTTAGATCAATTTAGATCAAGATATTATTTAGTCTAGGCTGGCCTCAGCCTCCTAGGGCTAGGATTACCTTATAAATGCTAACTCAACTTTTGCTGTACATTAGCGTGCTTAGATTTTTAAAATTATATAAATTATTTTGAGTAGCGACAATAGCATACCACGTTATTGTCAAAGTGGTAATTACTGTGATTTTAAATGTAACGTAAGAGTTCCTTTCTCATCATTAAAGCAACCAAATTTCTTTGAAGCAAAGGAATTTAAGAATAGTCCTAAATTAAAAATTAAAATTAGCTTTAGTCCTATCTCTCAGAAAGAGTCATTAGTATTTTGGCATATAATTATGTCTTACAAGCTGACTCTCTGGTTTTAACTCATTCTCTTTTTCTCCTGTCTTCCCAGATAAAATCTTGCCCTGGAGAGTGTATTCAGCTTACCAACCTATCGATACTGTTGAAGCGTCTCTTTTTCTTCATGGCACCACACCATCAGGCAAGAATATTGTCTGTGTCAGTGTCTTCAATCAGCTTTGAGAATGGAATTCAGATCCCCTCCCCAAATGTAGTATAGCAGAACACAAATTAACATTGATGGCTTTGGTGATTGATTTTAGGTCTGTGTAGATTTTGATGTCCCTGTTTTAGGTTACAGATAAAATCTGATTTAGTTTTTCTAGAATACAACCCCCCCATATCGTTAAGATGCTTGTGGACAATGAGATAGATAGCTTTGTGCTTTGTTCCATTTATTAATTCTATTATGCTTTGAATGATGCATCTTAGTTTTTTCAGAGTAAATAAAATTGATTTTTTAAAGGAACAATTACAAGTATGGCAAGCCTCAGTTGCCTGCTGTTGTGAAGTCAACATGATTTGCCATGATTGAGGAGATTCCTGTCTCATGGCCTGAATAGTAGCCTTGTACAGTCTGGTAGATGGGTACCATTGGAATTCCTGTAGCAGGGTTTTTGTTTGTGTTTAAAAACAGATTTCTGGACTGACCTATAAATGTAGTGGTGGGTGTGAGTAAAGGCTCAGAGATTTGCTTGTGTTATTAAGCATTTAATGTGATTCTGACAAGGAGTCAAGCTTGGAATCTACTAGATCCATGAAAGAAATTTGCCCATAAAGCCTTTGGTCTTAGCTTAAATCCTGATGCATCATTAACACGCATCAGAATGGATATGTTTTACTAAGAGCTGGCACATGCTAAGATGTGTTTCTGTTTCCATGGGGCTAAGAATTAAATATATAACTCAGTACTCTTACTTTAGTTGTTACCTGTTTGAGGGAAAAGTAATGTACCTTATTTAAATATACTAATAATTGTGTGTTATAGTTTCACTTCTGTTGCTGTGATAAAACACTGACAAAAAGCAACTTTAAGGAAGAGAGAATTGATTTGGCTGAAATTCCAGGTAAAAGTTTATTATTGCAGGGAGGTCAAGGCAGGAAACTTAGACCTCTAGTCATATCACATCTATAGTCAAGAACAGAGAAATGAATACCTGTGCCTAGCTCAATGTCTCCATTCTTCTCACAGTTCAGGGAGCCCTGCTTAGGGAATGGTGGCCTTCCACAGTAGCCTGGGTCTTCCTATATCAGTATCTTAATTAAGACAGCTCCCATAGACAAACCCAATGTAAACAGTTCCATATTCCATCTCTGCCTAGCTAATTCTAGATTGTGTTTAGTTGCAACTAAAGGTAACCATCACATACATGTTGCTACTATATTTATGTGAGGTAAAAATGACTGTATTTCCCCTTTAAGCCCATAGGTATATTTCCCTTCTTAGTTTTAAGAAGCGATCTAAATTCTCTGTAGTGTTTCCTTCCTTACACTTCACTCCTTTCCCTTGAACTGTCAGCCCCAACAGTTTTAAATCTTTAAAGTGATGTTTCAGCCTCTGAAGTGATCAGTTTTGGTAACACTTTTAAAGGTTTTTTTTTTTTTTTTTTTTTCCCATTGTGTATGACATTATTATATGTCGATTGTCTTTTGAAGGGGACCCATTTGTTGATTTATTCAACCTTATAATGAGGAACGGTTCTTGAACTGGTTTCTCCAGTCAACCAAATCATGGCTTTTTTTGATGCACTTTAGTTTTGTGCTAAAGTTGCTTGTTATAATTGACACTCAGCTCTTGAAGGATTCTTTATTCCAGCTGTAGACTCTGTCATAACAGATGACCACAGAGGCTCTTACTTATTTTGTCCTAATTTTTTTTTCTTTTGCCAATGAAATAGAGTTCATGTACAAATATATAATAGAAAAGTCCAGCATTATCAAATCTAATGTTGTATTACTTTGGGACTTAGAAGGGATTTTGTTTAGTTTTTGATAAATGACAAGTTTTCATATATTTAATGAAGTTTAAATATTATAAATTAAATTGTCTCATTTAAGAATATACTAGTATATTTCTAATTAGGGTCTACAAATTTTATAATTAAATACACTATTTTTCTAATCTAACATTTGGATAGTGTTCTTGAACTTTTAGTTCCTATTTTTATTGAGTCTTCTTGACACTTGCATTTTTAACAGAATATCACGTGTGCTTTGGATTGTGTTTCAATGGAAGAATGGATTTACCAATCACAATTTTTTTTATTTTGTCTCCTTTTGGGAAACTAATTTAGTACATTCTCTAAGGCTGAGCAGAGCCAGCTAATGTATTTGAGAGCTGGACCTATGATCTTGGCTTCATGTTCTAAAATGCAGTAACCTAATATAAAAGTTAGGACAGTGGTAGGTAAATTAATCTTGCCATATCTGGAATATTAGTTTGACTTAACTATATAAGGTGATGAGTACTTGGAAGGATAGCAGATCTAATGGGTAGAAGGAAGATAAAATATCTGACATGAATAAAAATGAAATACAGTACTTAATACTCCTTAGTCCATTTTGTATCATGCTTCATTTAAGTATGGGTTTTTTTTTTTTTTTTTTTTTTTTGGTTGGGAAACAAATACAGTAGCAGTAAAAGTAATCATGCTCATTTATGTTATGATGGTCTGGTACCCAGTGTTCTTACTGTGTGTTTTAGAAGCAGATTTAAAAATTTTTTTGTTGGTTGACACAAGATTGCAGTATGTGGGCCTGTCTGCCCTGCAATGCACAATGTGGACTAGGGTGATCTTGTGTAGGGATCCTTATGTCTCTGCCCCTTGAATGTTGAGAGTTGTGGTATATACCACCACGCCTGGCATAGTGTTGAAGTTAATATTCAGTTCATGTATATCCAATTATCCAGTTAGTCTGAAGTTGCCCATTTCATTCTCAACTTACTTCAGGTGGAATTTATCCAGAGGTTTTCTCCAAAAGAAGCAGACAACTTGCCTCTATGGCAGTATATTTCCTTCCAGGCATTATCTGCTGACCTTAGGAATCAAGCTGCAAGTGAAGTGATCAGAGGGTGCACAGTACAGTGCGGGAAATGGTTGAACAGCAGTCACACTTTGGCAGAACTTGACTCTCTGGTAAGGTAGTTTGGATTAATTCAGCAGTTTACTTAGCTATAGTTTCTGAGATGTGCTCTCTTTCACAACCTAACAATATTTTTAGATCTGTATATTATAAAAAGACCTTTAAGAAAAGTACGTGCAAAAAATATATGACACAGTAACCATCCAATACAGGAAACCTTGAGTAAGACATTTGGAAAGCATGACAGCACTTGTCTGGATGAAGGAGAAAATGATTCACTCCCTTACCCTTCAATGGGACCTCATGACTGTGTAGTCCAGGATGGCTTTGAACTCATGATCTTAGCCTCCTTAGTGCTAGATGACAGGTGTGTACCAATATGACCAGCTTAGACATGATTCTTTTATTTGACAGAATACAACATGAATTTTATAGCAAACTGCCCTGAGCCTTTAGCTTTCTATTTGTTTCCTTGTGAAACAAACAAAAGAAACTTCATCTATAAGTAGAAGATACATGATTTTTCAAATGGAAAAAACACACCCTCATCTAAAAATAGAAGATACATGATTTTTAAAATGAACTAGATTTAATACATGCAGTTGAATTTTCTACTTCAGTCTTCATTTGCATCTTCATTTATTCAACAAATAAACTTTGAGTGCTGTTATATGAGTTTTGCTTTAGTCATTGGGAGATAGATATAACAGGAAACAAAATTAAGAAACCATCTATTCTTGTAGATATATATTCTAGCTAAACAGTATACAATAAAATAAATGCCTCTATGGTACATATACAAAAACTTAGCAGGTATAAAGTATACATTCAAGGACTTGGAAGCCTTTTTTTTTAAAGTTTTGATTAGAAGTTTCTCAAGGCATATGTTTCCATACTAAGTTATTGTTCTACAGTGTTGTAAAATGGCAGTTGATCATAAATATTAAGCTAGTTTGAAACATTTACATAAAACCAAAGAAGTTTTTGTTTTATTTATCATAGTTAATTATGAGTGGTTAATTTAAGTTTGTTGTTTGTATTTAGTACACACTAGTTTCTAATTGTTCAGCAAACTTAGTCAGTAGACTCTCAATATGTGTTACATTTTTTATAATAAAAGTATTTTGGGAGTATTAGGCAAAACTACCAATTTTCTAAAATTAACTACTTAAATTATAGGCAAAACTTGCTGAATGTATTTGCTTGTAAAGGGAAGTAGATTAATCTCAAATGAGATGGTGTAAGGAAATTCCAACATGGGTGTGGATATTGAAGTATAGGATTAAAGTCACTGTTTATTAGACTATAGTATGGCCTTCTTCGTATACACACCATCCCGGCCTTAAGGACGATCCAGAAATAGGTTAGAGTATTTGTGTCTAGAAGCAAGAAATAATCCAGAAAAGGTTGTTTTCTGTTTCAAATTCTAGATGGTGTATTTCTTAAGGACTTTATTTACTTATAAAATGTAATGCTTCTGTTGCATCTCATGGTAAAATACCAGAAATAATTAAAAAAAAATCTAGTAATCTATATAGATTGGTTGGTGAATAGAGTGGAAAAAAAGTATAGCTTTCTATTGAGGAATATTTCAAATTAGGCTAACCTTGCTTACCATGTGTTAGGTTTTAACTGCTGTGACAAGCACAAGGACCATAAGCAACTTGGGGATTAAAGGGTTTATTTCATCTTAGGGTCCATTATAAAGGAACATCAGGGCGGGAAGTGAAGTAGAAGCTATGGAGGAATGCACTTACTGGCTTGCTCTCCATCACTTACTCAGCCTGCTCTCATCCACAGTCAGGACCACCTGCTCATAGGGTGACATAGCCCCCAGTTGGCTGGGCACTCTGCCAGCAACCAGGAAAATGCCCCACACACTTGCTTACAGATAATCTGATGGAGGCATTTTCTTAATTAGGGTTCCTCTTTCCAGGTAGTTGTAGCTTGTGTCAAGTTGACAAAAAACAAAAAGACAAAAAACAAACAAAAAAGAAAAAAAAAAAAAAAAAACAAAAAACCCCAAAAAACGAAAAGACAGAAGCCTAGTAAAAGTCAGTGATGTTGCTATTTTAAATGAAAATTTCAATCTAAATGGAGAACATGCTTTTATGTGCAAGGGAAATTGATCTTAATATAATTGCATTAAAACTTACATTTGTTTTAAAAAGCTAAAAAGAATGGCCTTGTTTCTCAGTCCATGTGGATTGTTATGAACCAATTATAAGTAACTCATACAGTGTTTATAATTGGGCCACTGGTCCTTTATATTTGTAAACTGAAACTTTCTTCTTTTCTCCTTATAGAACACAGCACTCTCTGCTTTGCTTACTGTATGTAATTCTGTTGGTGATGCTTTGGATATTAGACAACAAACTACAGTGATTGAAGTTGTGGGTCAGCTTTGGGCTTTTATAAACATTCAACAAGTAAGGAAAGCTACTCTATAGATTCAAATTTTTAATTTCTTTAGATGATAGGTGAAAATTATGATTAGAAGTCATCTAATTATATTCTCTCTTAGTTGTTACATATGTGTATATGTGTATGGGGATAAAGGAGTATATGCATGAGGGTTTTTTGTTTTTTTGTTTTTTTGGTTTTTTTTTGGTGTGTGTGTGTGTGTGTGTGTGTGTGTGGTGTGTCTTCTTGACTACACTTCACTTTACTTTTTGAGATAGGATCTCTCACTGAACCTGGAGTTCCAGCGAACTCCAGGGATCTGTCTGCATCTGCTACCTCTTCCTCTCAAAGCACCGTAGTTACAGATGAATCCTGCCACACTCAGTTTTTGTGTTGGTCCGGAGATCAGTGACTCAGGTCTTCATGCTGGCATATCAGACACTTTACTCACTGAGCCATCGCCTTAGGCCCTTTCAAGCAGTTTTTTTTCTTGCTTGTTTTTTTTTTTTCCAGTGTGTGATATTAATCTTAGGCCCTGCCACAGTGGCAACCGCAGTCCATCTATGTTTTTTTTAATCTTGTTGGATCCTTTTAAAAATTAAGTTTCATCTTTTCCTCTGTTAGATTGATGCCTGCTTGTGATTTTGAGAGTTTTGTTTGTTTGTTTGTTTTTAATAATTCAGATGACAAAATAGTGAGTTGACTTAAAAGTGAAATTATTTTGCAGATAGTGGTTTTTGGGGGGTTCAGGCTTCCTGGAAATCAAACTCAGGTCTTCCTATATGCTCCTCCACTGAGCTACAGAAAGATCGGGTTTTATGATTCATTTTTATGGTCATGTAGCCATCCTGCAATGGTGTCACTTCAGTAAGAGGCTGCCACTGATGTTCACATAGCACTTAGTAGCCATTCAGCATATCTGTGCTGGGATGTGGCTTCACAGCAGTATGGTGTAAACACTATGAAGAAAGAGGTAGAATTTTACCAATACTAGTGCATATACAAGTTTTCAGTGGCCAACAACAGTAATTAGACCCCCTTTCAATCATGTTTCTTAAGCAGTTATTTTCCTCACCCTGTTTTCTTATATTAAAAGGGGGGTGATATTATCTACCACTTAGTTGATATAAAGTATATAGGTTAGGTAGTAATTATAATCCACATGTTGACTGGCATACAATAAATGTTTAGTAAAATACTATTGTAGCTTTTCTCATGTGTCTTCGTTAGGCTTTCTGTGTGATAAAACACCATGGCCAAAAAGCAACTTGAGAAGGATAGGGTTTATTTCATGTTACAGCCCACCATGCAGGAGAGTCAGGGCAGGAACTCAAGGCAGGAACTAATGCAGAGGAATGATGTTTACTGACTTGCTCCTGTGGCTTGCGCAGCCTGTTTCTTATGCCACTCAGGACCACCTGCACAGGGATGGCCCATAGAGAGCTGGGCCTTCCTATATAAATTTGATCAAGAAAATGTACTACAGTTTATCTACAGTCTGATAGAAGCATTTTTTAAATTGAGGTTCTTCCCAAATAACTCTAGCTTGTGTCAAGTTGATGAAAAACTAACTCTTACATCATGTAATCAAAGATTCTCACCAAAATTACTTTGTTTCTTGTTTAAGGTAATCAGTCAACCCTATGTTCAGCAGGCATTTAGCCTTTTACTTCAACTACTGGCATTTTTCATCCAAAATGTAGATCTACAGCTGATAAGTCAGGTAATAATAATCAGGTAATAATAGCGACCAAGTTGGTTCTTTGCTCATTGTTTGTGAATTTGCAGTGATTTATTCGGTTTACTTGTAACCCCTTTAATCCTGTTCCTTCTCCCTCCCTCCTTCCCTCCCTGTCTCCCTCTGTCTGTCTTATGGAACCCAAACTGACTTCAGACTCATGTAGCAGAATGTCATTAAACTTCTCATCCTTTATCTTTAGAAACATATGGCACCATACCAAGTTTTTATGCAGTGCTAGGAATTGAATGTAGGGCTTTGTGCATTACTAGGCAAGCATTCTACTAACTGAATTGTTATTTCCAGCTTTTGTAATCCTTTCCTTGTAAACTGTCAGCTTTACTTGTCTTCATCAAGGTTGTCACCTAATGTCTTTCTTGCTTCTGTTAGTGTTTTTGCTGTTAATTCAGCCTTTATCTGTTTTGCCTCCTTTGGGCTTTATGCTTTGCTATTAAGTAGTCAGGATTTTGTGTAGAGCAAGCCAGGAAATAGCCTGCCAGACTCCCCAGGGAATAACCAAGTTAGAAGTCCTGGTATTGTGCTTAACTCTGCATTTATTGTACTTTCAAAGATACTGTCAGCAGCTAGCTTTGAGATTATATAACATCGCCATGTTTTTATTTCCTTGAAAATAAATTATTTTTCAAAAACTGATACTGCTGAATTCTTTTTAGGACTCCAGCTTACCTGGCTAGGCACAGCCATATTTACTATGTCTCTAAGGTTGTGCTTCAGAGTCAACAAAACGTGGGAATGCCTCCCTCTTACCTAAAGTGACGGAGAGCTTTAGAATGAGTCCATATTGGACAGAATTGACCCGCCAAGTCAATTTAGCTTTAGTTCAGGGTCAGGAAGCAGATTAAAAAATAAATAAAAAAAAAATAGGAGAAATAACTTCTTATTTAGGAAAAGTATGGAAGAGATGGAATCTTGTCTTCTTATAAGATGGAATGGAACATGAACTAAAAGTAAAGCTTTGTTTCAGACATCTCTTGTTAATTGTACATATAAAGAAATTAGCCTAGCAAGCAAGTACTAAATTAGGTATATCCAGTTACTATATTTATAACATGGACTATTGGCCCAGTTATACTTTTTTAAGGAAACCAAGACTCACTCTTAAGTTCATGGTTGCAGTGTTCTGTAACCTTACAGCTAGCTATATGTGGACAGTGCCTTTGAAAGTACTGTGTACAGAGTTCAGCACACCAGGACTCCTAACTTGGCTATTTCCTGGGCAGTTAACCACTACACAAAATTCTGATTGCTTATTAGTAAAGCATACAAGCTGGAGGCAGAAGACTAGGGTGAGAAGAAATGTTAACAACTTTTTTATCTGGTGTTTGTCCTCAGCTTCCACAGTTGAGGCTTTGAGGCCTGACTCTTCTGAATTGTCTTCTTTCCCTTCCTCACACAACCACACCTTGGTACTTAACAACTTCTCTTTGTTTTTACTCCTTAGGTAGTAACTTTACTGACCTCACTATTTAAATTAGAGCCTCCTGACCATGTCTCTCTGGCAGTGCTGGATTTTATATCTTCTCTAGGCAGACTTTTTATACCTCTGGCTATCCAGGTAATATACCCTTTACCAAAATCTAAAAATCTCTGTAAGGACGAGGGGAGTTTTAAGCCTGTGATTTTTGTTTGTTTTGAGACAGGGTATCACACTCTAGCCTGGCCTGGCCAAGAACTTGAGGCAGCTCTCTTGCTTCAGCCTCCTTAAGTGCTGGGACTGTGCTGTCAACTACACTGGGTGTAGGTTTTTGGTTTCTAAAATCTTGTGTATTTATTTACAAAGTTGTAGAAAAAGAAATACTTTCTGATAAGAAGAGTCACTGTCAAGATAAGAACACATTTTAAGTAATTTTCTTTTAAAAAAATAAGAGTTGGCATTCAAACAATTTATCAAATTGCCTACTGTATTCTGAGATATACTTGTGTTCTAGTATCTAATGGAAGAAGGCACTCATGTCTTATAGGCAATAATGTCTAGTGAGGAAATTTGATAATTAATTGTGTGGGTAGATTCAAGAAATAGCATTTATTTTTAGAGACAGTATTTTAACAATATTGTAAAGTATGTGTAGCTGACAAGTGTATATTTTGCTTCCAAAATTAAATTCTAGTGACTTAGGGAAAGACTACTAGAAGATTTTAAGAACTTCTAACAAAATTAGATTTAAACTCCCGCGCTTTGTCTTACTTTTGTAATAAAGTCCCAGTGTTTCTAGATTCTTGGCTTTGTTTTACATACAAAGGGGTTACTAAAAAAAAAACACTCTAGGGAGAACCTTTTCAGTGTGCAAGATGGACTGTTTATTTTACTTTTTCACAAGAAAATGACACAAATTCTTCTGTTTCTATCATGTAAACTTGTATTTCATGAGATAAATATGGATGGTGGCAGATTTTCTAATTTTGACAGAATTACTAACTTCCATTTGAGCTCTCATCCTTGTTTTTTGGAAAGGGTCTCAACATGAAGCCCAGGCTGGTTTCAAATTTGCAATACCATTTCAGCCTCCAAAATGCTGAGATTACAGACATATATTCTATATTATAAAATAAGTTTATTCTAGAGTGCTTTTTTATCCCTATAGATGTGTAGGTAGTGCATGGCCACAGAACCCATACAACAAATGCTTTGTTATCAGAATATCAGTGCCTTATAGACCTGGCTGGTCCTGAAGAGATAGGAGATTCATGAGCATGTGTGACTCTCATAGATGTAAGACAGGTTCAAGTAAGTACGAGCTCGAAGTGCTGTTTTAACTCCTGGCAGTGTAATAACTTAACCCTCAGTCTTAGTCCATTGAAGCAGCTGACAACAAAGTCTCATGTTGATGAGTGCTATGGAAGAAAATAAAGGACTGGGGACAGTATGAGGGGATAGTTCCACCTTTATTAAGGTGATAGGTAAATATAAATCTGAAAGGGAAGGAGAAACCCACATTGGCTCTCTGGAAGACTTCTGAACAGGGTATAGAGAACAAGTACAAAGCTTCATAGACAGGAGCATGCCTGATTACTCAGGGTGTCTAGTAGAGTATTGGGTGGTGATGCTTTGCAGGTCATTGTAAACCTCTTGTTTTACCCTGAAGGAAATTGGAAGTTATTAGAAAGATTTAAGCAAGGAACAGAGAATATGTGTTCCAAAAGTTGACAGTATCCTCTTTTGAAGTTTTTTCTACAGCAAGATTTGGTTTCCTTTATAGGACAAGGTGCTGCCCAACCTGTCTTGTATTCTGGCTTTTCTGCTAGCCAACAGGAATTGGCTGCTAGAGCAACTCAGTTTGGAGGCATTTACTCAGTTTGCTCAGGTAAGACCAGTTTACCATATTGATCTCTATATTTTAATATTTCTAATATTCTGAAACATTTAAAAATACTGAGCTACTTATAAAATTTTCTGCTGAGAAGATATTAATCATGTTTACAAAGCTTCATTATAAGTCCTAAAGAAATTATGTGACTTTTCCCAAGGTTCTCTGAATAGCAAGGAATAAGCATTCAGAATCAACTGCTTGACTCAGACACTGCCTTCAGCAACAGTGTCGGAACTTCTCTTTGGAATTGCTTCTCCTCCAACCCATTTCTATGGAGTCATGAATTTGATTTAAGAGTGACTCAAGTGATAACATTTCTATGTATACAAGATTGGCCTCCTATTTGTTATAGTTGGAAAGTAAAATGCCTGCTTAATTGTTTGAAGACACACAAATTATAAAATTTTAAATTTACTAACATAATGGTTTGTTGGAAAATTCTAAATTCTGTAGAAAAAGTATGGAGCTTGCAAGCCAAATGAATTTGGTTTGGGATGAACTGAGTATGAACTATCTATGGAATTTCTCCTGGATGTGAACTTTCAAAGCCTATTTGGGAGCTACTCTATGAAAAGTCATAGGCAATAATGGTTTTAGCCAAGTGTTTATGTAACAGTGGCTGACAGCAGGCTGTGTAGAAATACAGTAGAAAATTAATTATTACAGAGACCCAACAATAAAGATGAGCATAGAAAAGTAAAAAAAAAGTGACTCAAGTAATTAAACCTTGTAGCACTGTGTATATAGAAGCCAACATAACATAAGGTTCCATAGAATACAGTGTTCTGCCTGCAAATATATCCACATTAAATCTTGATGGATGGTTGTGAGCCACCATGTGGTTGCTGGGAACCAGTCAGGACCTCTGGAAGAACAGCCAGTGCTCTCAATATCTGCTGAGCTAGCTAGCTATCAAGGATCCCTTCCCCTCCTTAGGTACTACTTTTTTTTTTTTTTTTTTTTTTTTTTTTAAGATTTATTTATTTATTATGTATACAGTGTTCTGCATGCATGTACACCTGCAGGCCAGAAGAGAGCATCAGATCTCATTACAGATTACAGATGGTTGTGAGCCACCATGTGGTTACTGGGAATTTAACTCAGGTCCTCTGGAAGAGCAGTCAGTGCTCTTAACCTCTGAGCCATCTCTCCAGTCCCCCCTTAGGTACTACTTTTAAAATGAGTTTTCAGTTAAGGTAGTTTAAAAACTCATTGTCTTCACAAATTGCTGAACCATGAGTGATCTGTCTTGTTTATTGATCTTTTAATAGGGAACAAATCATGAAGAGATAGTTCCACAGTGTCTCAGTTCTGAAGAAATCAAGAACAAAGTTGTAGCCTTTTTGGAGAAGGTATTTATTATTTGTCTATAAATTTATATTGTATTCTTTACCATTTATTTTTAAATTATCTACTTGTAACATTTTTCTCTTGGTCCTGGGGTTTGAAACAGGGCTTTGCATATGCTAGAAAAGTGCTTTACTACTGAGCTACAACCCCAGCCTTAAACTTCTTAGAATGTTTTGCACAATAGGCTAAGCAAGCATCCCTAATCCAAAGTACTCCAAAATCTGAAACTTTGTGAACCACCCATATGAGGAAAAAAAAACATAGAAAATACTTGTATTGAAACCTTATTTCATGCATAAGATTACTAAAAATATTGTAAAAAATTACTTCAGGGATGGTATATGAATTTCATGCGCATACTTGGAGCCTAGCCCCGCATTATATGATTGTTTATGAAAGAAATATGAAGTGTTTTGTATAAACATAAAAGGAATCAGAGTGTACATCAGAGAAGTAAATCACTTTTAAGTCACTGTACCTATAAATGAGGTATAATAGCATTGACAACCTTGGCAATCAGATAAGAAGTATGGATCCCTAACATTGCTGATCATAATTGACCACACATGATTGATTACAAGGCTTAGTATTATGTTTTACTATATTTTAGTGTGACTTCAATATGTTTTTCTAAAATGCAGAGACATACTTTAGTAGCCCTAACTGGCTTTGATCTCACAGTTCTTCCTGCTTCTGCCTCCTGAATGCTGGAATTAAGGGTGTGTAAAGTGATGTTTCTATAATTGTTCACTACAGTCAAAAATTTTAAGTATGGGGATCCACTATATACTCTGATGTTTTGATATAAAGGGGTAACTAAAATACTAATAAGCAGACCTGTGAAACGAGATTAGAATATCAAGAAATGTAAATTATACTTAAGCAAGCACATATTTAACTGAGTTCCATGTATTTTGTAGATTACTCCTATGAGCTGTTTGTTGCTAAACATTATAAATATGTATGTTTTAAGAGTTACTACATCAAGGCTAGACTTTTAAGTACATGTGTAAGTAATTGTCTTGCCAGTACCACACCCTGTACAGTTAAGTTGAATGCTATACTTTTCTTGGAGAGACAACTCTTAACTCTGTAGTGAAGAACCCTTCTAAAGCACTCTAAGAATACTCTGGTTCTTAACCTCTGGGTCAAGACCTTCCCAATACAGGGTTACATATCGAATATCCTGCATGGCAGCATTAGGAAGGGTCAGAACCATTGCTCTAAAGTGTACTCGGGTCATACTAAAAGATGAGTCTACCTAACCTAGAATTTGCCTGGTTATATGTTAAGCCGGAATGGTTTCACGCTCAGCACTTAAAGGCGTACACATAAACTAGTCGGTCCCTTCTTCTTGTAAGTCTCATACTACTTGGCATCTAGTAGAGAGTACTAACAAGTCAGTGGTTTTTGATGATCTTTGATAGACAGGATTTGTAGATGAAAGTGAAGCTGCCAGAGTGGACCATGTGAAACAGAAGAAAGGTACTTCCTGGGAATATGCTGCCACGGTGACTGTAGAAGCAAATGGACCTGCTATACAGGTATGGGTTGCTTTTCAGTATGGTTAGTGTTAGGAACTAGCAGCCAGCTGACCCCCGCCCCACCGATGGGCGGGACGCTCATGGCCGTGTCATCGCTACATCAGCTTTACCTGGCGGCCAGAGGACTCAGTTATGCATGTGCAAGCCTCTTTTAAAGCAAGCTCGCCAAGTGCTTCTCTCTCTCTGCTCTCTCTGCCTCTCTGCTTCTTTGCTCTCTCTTTGCTCTCTCTCTGTTTCCTCTCTCCCTGCTTTCGGGTGGCCACCAGCTACCCCCTCTTCCTCTCCCCTCTCTCAATAAACTCCACATGGGAACTGAGTCTCGTGTTTGTGTTTCTTAGGCATTAGCTGTAGCAAAAGATCAACAGTTAGTGGTCAAACAATGGAACTTCTGCCATCATTATAAGATAAACTAGTTTGATTCTTGTATCCTTGCTGAATATCAGATAAAATCTAGACACATAAGAATTAATGGTAGTTGCATGTCAAAAACAAAACCGTACATGTGTCTTGAAGTGTTACCAACACAGACAAGTACAAAAAATAGTTATAAACATTGTACCAAATATATTCTTTATTACTGAAGTTACATTTTGTACCAACGGTGACATAAATACATTTTCTGACAGATGTCAGCATGTTTAGTCATCCTTTGTCTCAAGCCAGCCTCATAATCACTTTCCTCTGAGTATCATATGTACCTTTTAATTGGCAGAAATTTAACACTACATACATTCAAAGTTGTGTTTTTAACATAGGTATAATATAATTTGGAATTTCAGGCTATAACAAAACAATGTTCTAGGTTTATATAGTACAATAGTAATTTGTTAAAAGATGTAGCTATAAGCCTGAAGATATGAAGTTCAATATAAATCAGTTATGTTCGTAAGCCCTATGAATTTAAATTGTGACACCCCTTTGGAAAACCGATTATTAGGTATGTTTGGGTCTTAGTCCTCTTCCCCCTCCTTGTGCAAGATGCGTTGAGCCTTAGTTTTCCTCAACTGGCACCAAAAGCATGTTGGAAACAGTAGTTCTCAAGTAGTTCTCATTATTTATGAATTTAATATTATGAAAATCACATTTTATTTCTCTGAATGGTGTTCTTAAAGAATGGTCATTGATAGTCATTGGGCAAGACATCATCTGTCACTGGGAATCCTAGCATGAGAGGATTCTCCTTGACTGCCACATTCGATTAGGTATTATAGATGGGGAGGGTGCCGTTTTATTTCTAGAATGAGTACAGGACATTACTTGTTTCATGCATTCCTTATTTCCAGCCTCGTTCAAAAAGAGCCCGGCATGAGGTCCCCTTCGAAGAAGAGTATAGGGCAGCATTTCAAGCAGCAGAGGAGGCTTTGGAGACAACTGAGTTGTTACTCCAACAGGCCCCCGCTCCAGCCTGGCTGCTAACGGAACTGGAGGCACTGCAAGAAAAAGTTGAGAAGCTAAAATGCTGTATACCTGAGGGTAACACATGAATGCATCCTACCGATTGGACAGAACTGGGTTTATCATCAAGTCCTTGCCTGGACGTTTTGTAAATGAAATTATTAATGTAAATTATGTTTGTTTTCATTGAACATATAAAGACTCTTTATAACTGTGAAAATAATCTTTATTTGACATAGAACAAGATGGGGCATTTCTCATTGAGAACTTTGGTACAGTGTAATACAGGTGAAACAGTAACTGCCCAGGTCCAAAGGAGGAAGGAACCTTTCAGATGATAAAACTGTAAACAAATAAATAAGCTGCTTAAGGAGCTTTAGCAGTTTGAAGCTATAATTTACAGCTAGATTTTTTTTTTTTTTTTTTGTAAATCATTATTTCATAGTATGAGTTTTACTCTTACTTCTAAAGAAATGGCACAAATTTAAGCTTACCAGCTTGAATTTTTTATTTTCTTTACTTCCAGAATTGTCCTGGAATAAGCACTTCTTTAGCTACTTACTTTGCATGGGAACTGGCCTTGGTCAAGTGCATACAGGCTCTTCTTCCTAGAATCTGGCACTGAGAGCCTTCTGCCACCCTGGGCTTAGTCAGCAACTTGAAGTGGGTCTCATGCTTGAGTTGGCACAGACTGCAAAAAAGAGCTTCTGGTATGGGGCACACAGGCTGCTTTAGGGTTTTACATCCATGCAGCTTGCTTTGAGGTATTATTCCTGAAGTTTAAGCTCTTATCATCACCAGTTGTTATCTTCCCAGGTCAGCTCTTCTCCTTCTTCCCAGCCTTCTGCCTCTCCCTGCAGCAGAACACACCAAGCATTTTTAAAACGACCCATTTGTTTATAGTATCAGAAGAGACTGACTGCCTCACAATAAGATAAACTAATCAGAAGTTAAGTGAGATTGCATTGGTTGTAATGTTACACACCATGTCCATTGGAAAGTAATGGTACATACAGTCCAGTAAAATTGGTCAGATTCCTTCTCAAGTCAAAGAGTTACAGCAGGTGGACCCAGGTGTGGCCAACGACAGCCGAACACAAAATATTTAAAATAAAGTTTCTTTTAAAGATTGGTTTATCAATCTGATGTGTGCCTAGTGCCTACAGAGTCATGGAATTTCCTGTAACTGGAGTTACAGTTGTGAGGCATCATGAGGGTGCTGGAAATCAAACCTGGGTCCTCTACAATAGCTAGTAGTGTTAACCAGAGCCACCTCTTCAACCTCAAGATTTTAGTAATTTGATTTTTTTTTTTTTTTTTTGTAAGTTTTGAACTGTGAACTTTGTAGATGACAATGCTGTGTTACTTAAAGAAATCATTTCTAGGAACTGGTTTTGTTGATTCTAGGTTTAATTTGGTAATTTTTAACCATTGAGAAAACTACTTGTTTATTGTTAACTAGGATCTCCAAGGGAAACAAACCCTCACTAGCACATTCAGTATAAGAATGAACTCACCTCAGTCATTTCTGGTGCAGCAAATTTTGAGGAAAACTGCATCACTGTTGAGATGTTATCCTTGTCAGGGACCATCACTTCTGTCCTTAGTTCAGGCAAAATAAAGAAAGTACCCGAAGGCTTAATTTCTGGGATCATATCTGCAAACCAGTCTAATTCAGGATCTTGTACTGGCTTCTTTTTTACTTGTATGGTAAACTCTTCTCCTAAACCAAGTTCTGACCGAACCTTAAGGGGTCTTTCCTGGGACACTTCTGGTGGTTTGACTTCCCGACGCTGCATATGATTGGTCTTTGAGGAAGGACTAGATTTCAAAGGCTTAGACTCCTGAGTGAGAGGAAGCAAGGCTGCAGTGTGCTTCTGCTCCCCTGAGGTAACAGGCATGGTAGCAGAGGCTCCAGCCACTGTGCTTACTTCAGTACCAACGCTAGACTCACAGTCATCCCAGGACTCCTCCTCTGCACTCAGATTGGTGTGCTGAGATTCGGCTCCATCACAGGGTGCTTGGGGCCCTATCTGAATATTGGTGGTTTGGTGCTCAGGCTCCTCAGGCTCACTCCAGTCAGGCCACTCTTCAGGCTTACTATTACTAGAAGCTGCTGGGAAGTTTCCATCATCTTTTGAGGTGTTTTTCACATCTGAGATTTCATTCATAGGGAATTTAATAGAGTCAGAAAACTGGTCGCCTGTGGGTATATGCAAGAATTAGTCTCACACAGTACTAAGAGCAAGCATATAAGTGTAGGTATAATTACTTAGAAATATCCATGCACATTAGCAAAAGTTAGACAAAGATGTCATATAAGTTCTCCAAATACACTTAAAGGAAACATACCATGTCACAAGTGATTTTTAGACCTGACTAAATATGTAAACACTCGGCATAAGTCTCTAAATAAATACAGATGCAGTCTTACGTGATCACCCTTGAGGTAGCAATGACATCTAAAAATATGTACTCAAGTAAGTTGTTTCTAAGAATTATTTTCTGTGAGATCTCCCAATACTCTGGGTGTATGAATGCCATAGTGCAGGTGTGGTGGCAAAGGACAACTGTGCAGTTCTACTTTATGTGGGCTCCAAAAACAACCTGGGTTATTAGCATTTACCACAAATGCTTTTACTTCCTGAACCATCTTCCCAGCCCATTTTATTTTTCAAAGACTCTTTTTTAATTACATGTTTGTGTGTATGTGGAGGGGTATACACAGCTGAGTACAGTGCCAACAAAGGCCAGAAGCATTGGATGTCCTAGAACTGGAGTTAGAGGCCGGAGCTGGGAACCAAACTTTTGTCTCCTGCAAGAGTAATTTGTTCTTTGAAATGCTGAGCCATCTTTCCAGCCCCCAAGTTAAGTTTGAAACAGACTTTATCAAATGTCATCAAGGTGCTAAGAAATCTAGGTTTACTCTGCTACCACATAGATCATTTTTCACTTTATTAACATCTCTAGAACTCTTCATTTTTGGTAAATTATGATGCAGAAGACATAAAACCACAAAAGTATCTGATATAAAAATGAATTCAAGTAATGTTTACTTATGTGGAAAGGTCAGGTATATAACCAATAGTTTGGAGAGGTAAAAAGGATAGAGGAATTCCAAAGTGTACTTGATTTTCAAAATTTAAGCCTTAATATTGTCAGAAATAGATTGAAGCAATGGGAAACACAGTTAAAATCCTTACCTGTCTGTAAAAGAGTATTGTAATACTCTTCCTGTATATTTTTCTTGCTGTTGATGGGCATGTTGCCAGAAAACAGCCATTTAGGGAATGCATTAGAAGAGGGGTTGTCCAAGACTTGTGAGATCTGACTCTGCTGGCTGCACACAACATGCATGGGAGAGCCTGAAGACAGTGAAGGCGGAGGATGAGCTTACTGATCTAGCATTTACATGGTGGGTAACAGTCAAGGAAGATGGGGATGCATAGCACAGATAAAATAACATCAGGCATTTGACCCCAAAACATCACTAAATGGGACCTGTCTCTAAAGGTCTCCTAAGGTTTTAAGACAGGTTGTGTCCACTGAGCATGGTGGTGATGGGATAAAACTATGAAGCAGTACATAGATAAAGCCTTTAGGGAAGTAGATTACAGTTCTTAAAATCATTTTGGTAGCAATCTAACACCTTGATTCCAACTTCCTTTTAAGAATAAGAGGCTACTAAGAGTACAAGCCAAATAATATTAGTGACTTAGTACCACAAAACTATATACTGAAAACAATAAAGATAATGTATGCTATGGGTATTTGACTTTGAGTGAGGAAAGTAGCTGACTTTAACAGTTTACCATAAAGTTTACATTACAGATTGGATGTTGATCAGAAAGATTTAGTAAAATTACAGCGGGGTATTTCCCCTACCTTAAAGCTAGGGTAAGGGGAGTCAACTGTCATTATAAGGCTTCAGCTCTCTAGCACCTCTCTCTTCTTCACCCTCAGCCCTCAGGACCTAGCACTACAAGTCAAAGAACTGCATTAGAGAGGGACCCAAAATTTTGTAATGAAATCATGGTCATACAAAGTAACAAAAAGGAAATGACATTGTTGGTAGCACAAGAATTTTGTATCTTCTACCTAGTGTACAGTGGGAAAAAACCAAAATCAAAGATTTACTTAAGTACTCAAAAATTTCTTTTACCCAATAGTCTAAAAAAGTCAAAAGAACTCATCTAATGTTTAAAAAAAGTCTTAAATAGTCCCCACTAAAATTCCAGTACATTCTCTGACCTACATAGTCTACTTCTAAGACTATCCTATGGAGGTGGAACCCCACATAATACAGATACATGTGTAAGGGTACTCATGGTACTACAGTTAGACACTGGTTAAAAACCTAGCAGTGGATCAACTGCTATGGCGGTTGAATCATTGAATTGTATTCAGTGAAATATTAGGTATAAAAGTGAGGTATGTTTTTATGTATTGGCCTGGAAACATCTTTAATATGCAGTACATGAAAATGATCTGTAACTTGTGCACAGCATCATTAAATATAATCTTATAAAAACCACATGCGTTGAGTGTGTAAAAAAAAAAAATCTGTATCCTTTTGTGGGCTTCCAAAAAAAAAAAAAAAAAAAAAAGGATTCTCACTGAACCATAAAATGTCACTTTGTACCCACTATGAGATGTTTGAAAAGAGAAACTGGACTTTCCTCATGGCATCATAAACCTAATGTTTTCTCTTACCTTCAGGGGAAAGATCACTAGTTTTGGTAAAACTTGGAGCAGTGCGTTTAAAGATCTTGGTTCTTTCTCCTCCCACAACCACTTCTGGTCCAAGTAGAGATACCAGCACCGCCAGGCTACGAAGAGTAATTGCCACAATGGAATTGCTGGTATCACGAAGGCCCAGTAATACCTAGGAGCAAAATTGGTGATGGGTGTAGACAACCACTATCTATCTCTCCTGGAAAGGAATTGGCCTGCAGCCATAATGCTTCTTCTAAGTCAGTGGTTCTCCAACTAACTATGGGAAAGAAACAGTATTTTACTTCCCCCTCCAATCCATCAAAGATTGCCAACACCCCCGCCCCCCACATACCCCAAACAGCCACATTATAAGCCAGCCCCAGAGCAATGGCTACGTGAAAATGGGTGGGGACTGCCTGAAACAGCTGCCCAACAAGATACATACACTAAGTCCTGTTTCTGGGAGCATCAAGGCTTATAATATGCAGGTGCTCAGAAGCAGCTGCACCTTGATTTCACATTTGATTTCTCAAGAGCTTCAGATAAATTTTGGTTTATTTTGACTCATGCCACTGAGTTAAGTTTTTTAACTTTTTGGTTTTTTGAGACAGGGTCTGTCTCTGTGTAACAGACCTAGCTGTCCAGAAACTTTTATCTTTACTAGGCTAGCCTCAAACTCAGAGACCTACATGCCTCTGCCCCTTGAGTGCTGGGATTAAAGGCACTACCACACCCAGCTCTGATAATTTTTTAAGGTATAAAATAATAATTACAAGCCTTGGGTGAGCAAATTCTAACATTCCCTATGGTGGATAAACAGGCTGAAAATCACTGGTAATAATCTCATGTTCTTTCTGTGGCAATTGCCGTAATCATTGTTCCACAAATGCTAGTGAAGGGCCGTGGGTCTGCTTACTCTTGTTTTTTTTTTTTTGTCTTCTCATTCATTTACCTCCACGATTATCAAACCGAATCATGACTAAACATCGTATGTTAACTGATTTGCCAAAATGATTGGACTGAAACAAAACACAATTTCACCTCTTTATATTTTAGCAACTTTTAAACTCATCTGCTGTCTCAAGGCTCAGTGAGCTACTATCTGAAAACCTCTTCCTTTCACTCCCTGAAGTGGCAGCACTCTGCACACACTGATTGTCCCACCGCCATCTTGGTCCTGACCTGTGGCAAGATGACTTTCTTCAGCTGTTCCTGATTAAAGTGCTCCACATAGGCTTCGATGTGGGACAGTAACACCATTCGTACATGCTCCTCATGGACCTCGAACAACTGGAGAAGCACAGGGATCACCCGTGACTGGAACAGTGCTGGCGAGAGCAAGCAAGGAGTCTCTCCTGGTGCATTCTCTACCCCAAATCAGAGGGTACAGACACAACAGTCATTCAGTGAAAAGGGTAAAGAACAAAATTCAACTGAGTCCAGAAGTTTATACATGTTTTATGTACTTTTCTACAATTTTAAGCCCCAAGCTAAAGGAATTTCTTAAAGGCTTTACTGTCTCAAGTGCTCTCTGCATCCTATCTGCTCCTGGCAAAGGCTCATCTTTAAAGAACATCCAGGTGACTCATGTTCTCCCTCAAATTCACAGTGAGGATGGAGAGCTCTAAGGGACATTCAAGACTAAAGGAAGTATGTTTAACTCAGCGATAAATGCAATTCTAAACTGAACTACCCACAGTATCTGTTGGTATGACACCATTAAAGAAAATGAACTCTGGGGGAGGGGAGAAGGTTCATTGGTTAAGAACATTGGTGATTGCAGAAGACCCAGGTTCAGGTCCCAGCATTTATACTGGTTTACAACCATTCCTAACTCCAGGTTCAGGGGCTCCAGTGCCCTCTAGTGTTTTCCATGGGGAGCAAGTATACGTATATATGTAAACATGAAAGCAAAAACACTTATACACATAAAACTAATTTTTTTATTTAATTTATTATTTACATAAAACTAATTTTAAGAAGATGATTGTTAAAGCAGGATCCAATCTAACTATAATTTTTTAGTATAGTAAAAATGTTCTCTAATCTGATGTGTTATCAAGTCTTATAAATCTTACAAACATTCAAAGCAATTACTTTGAAACCCACAGTTCCAAGAAATAAAGTGATCCTAGAGATTTTTAACATTTTTACTAAAAACAACATGGGTTGCTTTCAGTAACTGAGGAAGGTCAGGCCCAAGGATTCACTGAAAAGATAACCTGAGAACATAAGCCTTAAACCATTAAAATTCATATATGCACCACACTGCCTTCGTGTATGCCTCTCTGTGTATGTAATTGCTATACTGAAGAACTAGGAATTTTTCACAATAAATTTTCTATTCTCCCAGAAAGCTGGATTCATACACAAAAAAGATGGAACTAAAGGTATGTAAAATATTCAATCTATTTTGCCAATGATTTTTTTTTTACAAATCCCACAAGTCATGAAACAAGTGGGAATGTTAACACATCTCTTCATCTAAGTGGATAAGTGGTTCCTAGAACACCTTTTTGTTTTGTTTTTTTGAGACAGGCTTTCTCTGTAGCTGTGGAGCCTGTCCTGAAACTTGCTCTGTAGACCAGGCTGGCCTCAAGCTCAGAGTGATCTCACTGCCTCTGCCTCCCAAGTGCTGGGATTAAAGGCATGAGCCACCACTGCCCTGCTCTAGAACACCTTTTGTAAATGCCAGAAAATGAAACGTTGAAAAAATGTTATGAAAAATGATATGGCAATAAATATGACTCCCCAGGAAGATACAAGCTGTTCTGTATTTACCCCTGGGCTTTGGTACCTGGGTCAGGAGTTCAAACTATCATCTTAGGGAGGAGTAGCTGTTCTGTGCCTTTAGAAACAAACATCAATTTTAGAACACAATTACCCTACTCAAAAATGGACTAATAATTGCCTAACACCTTAATAACAAATACTAGAAAAAAGTCACCTTTTTTAGGGCCAAGGAGATATGGAAGGAAACTCTTAACAGCCACTGGCTCAGCAAACACCAACTGGTTAAGCAGAAGAGGCACCAGTCTTGAAGCTATTAACTCTTCTGACAAGCAGCTCACTCTGTCCAGCAGAAATCTGAGGACAGACGAGACAAGATGCTGTTAGCCTCCTAGTCATGTGACCCCTGTTCTTTGCTAGATGTGCTAGTCACCTGGCTTGATGCTCTTTTGCTGTCCACCTGCTGCTTCTAACTGCTACTGGCTATTTGTTTACTTTTGCTTGTTACATGCTTAATGTTAATATATGGCCTTCCTTGGTCACTGCTCTCATCCTCCTCTCCTCTCCCAACATTTCTCATCTCCAGCCTTACTGCAATTCCAAGTGCTCCTTCCACTCCCACACTGGTTCTTTCCCTCAGCCTATAAGCCTCCCAGCTTTATCTTTTATCTTTCTTATCTCAGGGTTTCCTTCACTGGTCCATCAATGCTCTTACATCAACAACTTACCTGCTGACTGAACCTCTTCATACTAACCGATCCAAGCCTTGTGTGATCTAAATCTGTCTCCATGAGTAGAGTGATCATTAAAGAGACATCTAGCTATCTCATGGTTACCTTCATTCCCTCAGTGGCTTCAAGGCAAGAAGTCTACTACCTACAAATAATGGCAACACTCTTGTGCCATACAAGGACCACCTTTTACCTGTCCTTGCTTTGAAATCTGCCCTCCAGCAGGAATCAAGGGGCTGCCCTTTGCTACAAATTACAATGGGTCTTATCTTTTGCATTCACTCCTACTTGTCTGTCTAGAATAGCTTTTCTCTAATCACCTCCCTCCCAGCAAAGCAAGACTTGCACCCATCTTTTCATATGTGACCAGCTTGTATCACCAGTACAGTCTATTCCTGTCACAATGTAAAATATGACATGTAAGAAAGTTCAATAACTACTGTGAAGTCAGAAGACTTGTTCATTCCTACATCACCAACATGCTTACATAGGTTTAATTCAAGTTAGTGAAATTCAGTTTTCTTCTGAACTTACTTGAAAAATTCAGTTTTTTCATCTTCACTCTTTAATGTCAAGCTTCTCAAGAAATTCACAACTTCTAGAAAATCATTTCTAAATACAATAAAATAAAATGGCAGGACAATAGGTTAATGGCATGTTAATTATTGAAGCCATTATCACAGACCAGACCACCATTTTCAATGAAGAAATGTTCTCTATGTCATATGAAAGATTAAAAGTAGCTGATGAGATAAATACAATGAAGTAAACCTAGAAGATCCTAATGTTTTAATAATTCTAAAAAACATCTGCCAGAGGATATAAATGGAAATACACATGCTAGCATACTTCAGGCTTCTGAAGTGACCATACTTCTCCAAATTTTTCACTGAACAAAACACTGGCAAATGGATTATTCTGGGAGAAATGGCAGAAACATTTCAAAGGAGCTGCTGATTCCCAAGTCTCTTCTTTGGAGAAGTGAAAACACTTGGAAAATAGAATTTCTGTAGAAGTCACAGCTATTTTCTCATTTTTCTGACTTTTGCACTTAGTCAAGGTCAGTTTCTGAGTTCACACAGTCCCAAACCTGTAAACTGTTCTGTTCCAAGAAAGCATGGCTCACATCCTACCACATGGAAGCCACTACATGGCAGTTAAGCACACAAGTTTGGCAGCCTACATGGCATGCACAGGTACTCCCTTCGCATGTTAATACCTCCATGTGACAGACCCTTGGACAACCCATCATTAGGGCACTAACTTCTCTGACTTCTGCATAAAAATCCATATGACTTTTAACTTCTGCAAACTTAATTTCCATGGGCCCAGTATTGACCAGTAGTTTTAATGAAAACCATCTATTACCACATGGAAAATACACAAGAAACTTGGAAAAGCACTCGGTACTGTATAAGCCATTTTCCTGCTTTTCAGGAGATGGCTCCACATCAATCACATGGTGTTTCAGGGTGATACCTGCAACGCTATAACATACTAGCAATATGTGCTCCGAGTTTTTTGCAGTTATGGTTTAATACTAGATCTTTACATCTGTTTACATGTCTCATTGCAGATGGTAACATATATGGTCTATGAACGTATGAATATGTGTTCACAAACTTTAACTTCTTAGAAGAGACAACTTGTTTATACTTCACGCACCCAAAGGATAAATAGATTGTCTACATTTATTTTATGTGTTCATCACACATCTGTTTCTTCCTTTGGTATTTCTAGGATTTGTCTCAGAGGTTCAGTTTTTTAAACCTTAAAGACTCATGTCAAATCTAAGTGTACCTGTGCATTCCAAACCCATGTTATTCAAAGTCAGTACTGTCTCCCGCTTTCTCTATAGCAGAGCATATGCACAAATGTCTTTAATCCAATGGACCGGGCTCAACTGCCTCAGTGAGGGATGCTGGTCTGCTTCATCCTGTTGCCTCTGGCACATTTACTCCTCATGCCATAGTTGGAAATGTGAAGTATGGGTTGGAGTGGTCTTTGTTTTTTTTCCCCTCTATACTAACACATATTTCTTAAAGAACTTGTATTATATAGGTAGTAGTAACAATTTACTACAATGAGAAATATGGTATTTCTAAGAATTGCCTACAAGCACAGGAAAATGCTGTTTATAATAATAACTGTTGAAAGACTTGTAAATGTAAATATATACAACTATATTCGTTAAATTAAGAAATAAATGGAGGGTATGACCTGCTACACTGGAAAAAAAAAAAAAAAAAAAAAAAACAACAATGGCATCTCTCTTCCTGATGACTACAGGCACTAACTCACAACCCCAGCATGGGCCTCTCTAGAGGTGGTTAGTCTTAGGGGCAGCAGAGCTGTCCTTTGCCTCCTGTCTAGCTCCCTAACTACAAACACAAAAAGATACTTTGTTTAGAAAACATCAGGTTAGCTTTGTTAATCAAATTCACAAACATGGAACTAACCTCCGCACAAGGTCTGAGGTTACAGAAATGATGAACATATCATTAAAGTTAACCTTGAAGGTCCAATACCATCTGTGAACCCAGGAGAGCATTATACTGTTCCCTTCTTTCTAATCGATGACTACATATTCTGGAACCCAGGAATCAGTCTGCTGCCAGAGAAACAATCTTGCCCCTCCCAACACATACCAGTGAACCAGCATATTCAGAAACACATACCAGTAATGCAGTGGCTGCAGACAGGAGATGCCATGTTCATCTACTTTGTCAACACACAATTGTAAACTATTCACAGAGATTAGTTTCTTTATCATCAAAATCCCTAATGAATCTGGATATAATTCCTTCATGCCAGCTAAGAATTCCTAGGACTTTCTGTGACAGGAAGCTTCGAGGCAACCAGCCTCTCTCCTGCACGGCACAAGATGCCCTCACCTGAAAAAGTCATGGGACAGTAAGGTGTTGAGCGCTGGCCGACACGTAGGCGTAGGATTCAGCAGAGCAGAGTGCAAGGTCTGTAGAAAGCTGGAGAGAACATCCGCTGAAACTGAAATCCAGAGCTACAGTTAGTTCCAGTGCCTTCTCCCTCTTTTCGGGCCTCTCTAGCTGGAGACTGATGAGAGCAAAAACCAACCTGTAAAAGCCCAAGCACATAAATCCCCAGCTGTTGCTACATGACGTCTGTCGTGTAGACCAGACCCCTGGGCAGGTATACAGTGCTGTCCTGATGGCACAGCCCACATTGCCACAGGTGCCTCCCTTCTGCATCCCCCATTTCCTGATTGTTAGCCCACCTGATCCAAACTGATGGCTCAAAAGGGGGTGGGTTTGAAGGTCTTTCTTGGGTAGGTTCTTCTCAACAGAGTTGACTGACTAAATGCCTGTATTTTCAATTCTTATACACATTTGCCACCATTATAGGTGCATTTAGTTCAAAAAAAGAACAACGACTCCTTAGAGCCTTAGAATGGATGAAGCAAGTTGCTAACCAAAAGGTACTTCTAGTACCAGAGCACTGTATACCCTGGAGCAAGCTACACTGACACTGCAGAAGAATGGCTTTGAAAGAATAAAGAAAGTTTAAGGCTGGTTTTGGAATTAATTTAACAGAAACATTGGAGTCTTTACTATTCAGGCTACTACATGTCAGTTTATTTGCCACAAGACAACTCAGAAGACAATCACATGTGATAGTAAACAGCCATTATTCAAAGTGCTTCTTACTTCAAATTCTTTTTTATTATTCAGACTTATGGAACCCCAAGTTTCTGCCCTTGCTGCTGCTGCTATTTGTCCTAAATAGATTGTGGAGAGCAGCAGGTTCCCCACTATACTGACGACTGTAGTCCTTGGACTTCCACATAGAGAGAGTGGGGATGCCTTTCCTACTCAGTCTGTGCATGTGGTAGTACAGCTGCAACTCACCCTGCTCCTTCAAGATGGGGAGCAAGCTGTCCACCAAAGTTCCGAAGGAATAGGCATCTCGGGCATGTCCATGGGACTCTGGAAGAGCTGCAAATTCTGGAGACTAAATGCAGTAAAACTATTAGAATGAGAGGACCTACTTTATAAGCCGTCTCCAATGTTCTCCCATGTTTGCATTTATTATACTCAAATCTAACTTCATGGTATCATATATCACAAGCTTTAAGAATTGTTAGTAGCCAGTACGTGACAAATTGGTGCAATTCTATGTCAATTAAAATGGTAGGTCCATTTCAAAATAGAAAAACTCTGAACTATTATGAAATAGAAGGTCTCTCTCAAATATTGAAAAACTTTGAAATATTCGTTGATGTAACTTATTAAAAATTTAAAAATATATATGAACAAAAAGATAATGTTTATGGCTTTCTGAAATGTGTCAGCAACCCAGGGTAAAACATACTATACATAATCCAATAGTTATATACATACAATAAAAAACAAAGTTTATAAAACGTTTTTTCTTATAATCTGGCATGGCCAGTGATATTTTCAACTTTTTTAAAATGCTGATTAACTTACTTAAAATCCATAAATCATCAGTTTTAAAATTTCCCTAGTCTGTGTATATAAAACAGGTCTGGCTAACTCTGAGATTGCAAATCTTAGGTCTTCTAAGCTTACAGTTGGGCTTGCATTTTCTGTAGAACATATTAACATAGTCCCTGGAGGTTGGTACTTAATTTAGGTCTTATAAAAAATTGTGTAAAGGGCACACCTTCTAGATTTCCTAGTAATTGGCCCTTTCCTTACCATGATATCAACAATCACTCTTCTAGCTGGAACCTGGAGTTCCAGCTAGTGACTAGCTAGGTAGATGATGCCAAGGAAAGGATTAGGTCACTGCCTTCCCCCATAATGGCGGCCTCCAGCAGAGTACAATGACTTATCATGTAATAAAATGATGCTTTCGCCACAATGGACATCTCCATACAAACACAAACCATAGGCTGGCTCCCTAAATGTGATAGATTAATTTTAATCTCAGGCATTTTCAAGATCAGAGAAGATGGTGAGGGCATTTTTGTTTCACACTGTCCCACACCAGTCTGAGTTGCAGTTGCATGATGGGGTCTTTACTCACCATCTCCTCAGGAGGAATAGACACTGGATCTCTTACTGACTGGATACTTTTGAGAAACTAGACAAATAAGAAAAATAACTCGTAACATATTTGGTATGTTCAATCTAAGAAAGAAATAAGCAGTGGAAGCAGGTGCCATTAAACCTTTTGATCAATGCCACCACATCCAAGACACAAATTTTAGAGCTTAATTTAACGTGAAATAGTTCCCAGTACAGCATGAGGCTGAGGAGCAGGAATGCTGGCTGCTCTTCTCCCATCTGGTTGTTTGAGTGATACCCCTGCTGTCACTCCTGGGGTACCTATCTTCCCACAGAAAGAATGACGGAAAGGCGTGTTGGTCAGATGTGGCCCATGCCTGTAGTGTTCACTATTAGGGAAGCTGAAGCAAGAAGTTTACTTGTGCCTGTAAGTTCAAGACCAGGCTGGAAGACATAGCAAGCAAGCTACTGGTCAGCAGATAACAAAAATTCACCACATTTCACTACATCATGGGGAATAAGTTTTGTTGTTACAAGACATTAAAACTGAGGCTCCTATGGGCTGAACAGATAAAAACAACACCTACTGAATAGGTATATCTATTCACCTATTCAAAGATTATTTTTGAAAAGCTTCCATGTTCAAAACGCCATTTAGGGCACAAAGACAATGAAATGAATGTGATAGCTCTTCTGTCCCCAGCCAGTGCTTACAACCTGAAGAGAAGCTCACAACTCAGATGTGCTGCATGCACAGTAGTGATGAAGTTTGTTAGACAGGGAAGGATTTAGAGATGGACTTAGGCTTGATCTAGCATGTGTGTCCATTTCCTAGGAGGCCAATGGGAGGAAGAAGGTGGTCCAGCAGCAGAATCACATCAGAAGAGACAGGGCCCATCAGAGCTGCTCTGTGTGGGTGCTGAACAGAGTTGAGGTAGGATGGGCAGGTATTGTGAGGAACTGTGTATGCCATGGCCAAGAATTTGTGCAACGGAAACAGAAGTAATGAGAGAGTATTTACAGAAATGGCAGCATTGGAACAGAGGACCTCTCATGAAGGTGCCCATTACACATTGCCTAAGTGTAGAAATAGCCCGAGAAGACACACTAAAACAACACATCAAAGAGAGTGCAGTTAAGAGTGCTTCTTGATCTTCAGAGGACCAGAGGCCAGCTCCCAGCACCCATATACGGTGACTCACAACTGCCTATAATTCCAGGTACAGGGGATCTGACATCCCCTTCTGGCTTCCCTGGGCCCCTGCACAGATGTAGATTACAGCACACACCCTTTAAAAAAGACAGCCAATACTTCCACAGAGACATTATGAAGGGAGAGCATGCAAATGGTGAAAAGACACAAAACAGGGAATACAGCAGCTTATCTACTAGGAGGAAAGGTATAGAAAGTACCATAGAAGTAACAACTCAGGCCACAATCCCATATAATACAGTGTACTGACATTAGGCAACTCAGACATTGCTCAATGAGTACTTCTGGCCTTGTAATAGACAGGTACTGCTGACCTGAGCATTAAGTATAAGTAGAATGAAGCACAGAGCACTTATAGGGAACAAAAAGGTGGCAACTGGCTTCAGTGTTGAATAAACCACTCATTTACCTCTTGGTCTCAGGCTCCTTACCTACCAAATGAGAAGGGACTACATGAACTTCAGAACTTACTGAGGAATAAACATTACAATTTTCTGAACATGAGCATCAACAGAGACTTAAGTCTTCAAATCTAAAATCATAACCGTGAAGGAAAGTGCCCAGGCAAGAACCCCATCTCAAGTCACCATCATATCCTCTGTGAGGAAGAGAGCTGCCACATGGCTTACCTCTGGTGTGGCCTGAGGAACTTTGCACACTGTTTCCATGCCTCCAAGTTTCCAGTGCCCATCTTCACTCACAAAAACAGAAGATAAGCAGACATTGTTGTGTGTCAGCTGTCCCTGGGAAAGAGACAAACAGAACAAGAAGACTGACATCCCAAAACCTGAAGGTTTTAAACAATTCCATACTAGTCACCACACATACCAATACGGTCTTTGGCACCTGCAGCAGAACATATGGGCTGTGCTTAAATTAACAAACCAGAAGCAGCTAAGAAGGGAAAGGGTCCGGCTAGCTCCCCTGCCTGGTAGGGAAGGTCAGGGAGACATCAAGGCCAATGCACAGAGGGCATCACTCCCACACATGTCCTTAAACGAACACAAGCCTTCACAGCCTGGGTCACTTGCTTCTAGTGCCTTAAATAAAAAGTATCACAGCTCATGCAAGTTATGTCAATTTCTCCCCTAAAGTCTTTCTTGTCATGAACCCAGACGACGTCACCTGAAACCTTGGCAGTCAGTAGACATCCTGCCAGAGGAGGAAATGGAATGACAAGGGCCACTAGAAAACTTCTCACCCACTTTAACTTTAACTTTAAACACTAAGAAAAATAGTATACTCAAATGCAAGGAAGGGAGAAAATGAGAACAGGGTTTAAGTAGTTAAATTTCTTTTTCAAATCAGGAACTATTCATTCCAGTACACAAAAAGCATACTAAATATTCTACTCACATGATCCAATGTGTATGCATTTTATACATGAAATATATATAATAAAGGAAGACTTTTAACAGCATGGTGATATGCTTGGGGAAAAAGAAGAATAAACAGAGTATTTGATAGATATACATACATATTTTCTCTGGAACAAAGCACTGCGTACTACAGTTGCCTCTGGAGGAAGATTAAATCTGAAGATAGGACGGAAGTTTAACTTGCCTTCTTATCCTGTTGCTTTTCTATTATAGACATATTTTCTTCAACAAAAAGACATTCTTCCCCAATGAAGCATGAATAATTCTTGTTGCCATGTGAACCCCAAAAGACTTTGAAATTCTAAGAAATTATAAACTGCACATGACATTTGGAAAGACACTGACAGAAATAGCTCTAAGAACCTAAGATGAGCCTGGTGCTAGCGTGTGAAGCCTATGATGCCAATTTCCCATCTCTGCAGAATGTGAAATATCTAATGCTTCAGAATGTAAATGCCACATAACACCAGCACAGAACCAGTGACAACAGACAGACCACAAGTAAGCACAGAACCGATCAGACCACAAGTAAGCATAGAACCAATATCATAATCCCAGACACCACCAGAGCCAAGCTTACTAGCTACAGCACCTTGTTATGGGGATGCCTCTTCACTGGATTCACTCACCCAACCAGAAACACCATTTCTTCCTAAGAAAAAAATGGCTATTTCTTTCTTTGAAATCTAAAGTGGAAAAGAACTTCTGAAAACGAACAGGAGCTTTGGTCTATAGCAACACTACTGCCAGGACCTTCTCTTCACAGATACTGACTGTAGTTATATTTAGATAAAGACTTACCTAAAATAAGAGGTAGACAGTAAACTGAAAGAATATTGTCTAAATATCTGCTCAGGGACAGAGAACGACTTGCTGACTCCACAAACTATCTGCAGGGTCTCTTGTTCCACTCTCGTCCTAGTTTCTCTCAGTATGAGTCTCTAAGTACCTCCACCCAGAGGGTCAACTCAGTCCCCATCAGTCCTGTGAGGGAGACTGTCAAACCACTTACTCTGTCATGAAGGAAGATCAGAGCCAGCAATACGTCATAGATTCCAGCACAGACTTCTGCAGGAGACAGGGTTTCCAGCGCCACTTCCAGAGGCTGCACTCTCTCAGTGACGAGATGAATACCATCTGCTTCCACAGTACAAGATAAAAATCTTAGCAAGCAAGGGTGACGAAGGGTCTTTAAGTGCTTTAAAATACAAATAGAAGAGTTGGTGAAGTTAATGACACAAACCAGATTAATTACAGTTTCACACACAGTGTAATAAAAGTCATGCTTTAGTTAACTATTCCTTCAACCTCCCTATGCACCCCCAGATTTCAAGGAAAAAAAAAAAATCTATAATTTGTTTTAACTTTATTCAACTTACCAATACTTGATTAACTCTACAGACTTCTTATTCCCTTTATAAAAAACCTCCTGAGTTCTCACGCCTTTCAACTATGATTGTCACAAAACTGGAATGAAATGCCAGAAACGACCCAAAAATTCTCCAAAGCATGTGACTATGGAGCAGAGGCAAAGCAGCTAAGTGAATGAAGCTCGGCCTTCTCCTTGTAATGAGCCACACATTAACAGCAGGCTTTAGTTGTGAAACCATGGAGGAAGGGTCCCAAAAATGCATCAAAAATCTCATTATCTTTTAGACTAGACTCAGAAAGGAACCCAGGAAGGGCAGAGTATGAAGACACTGTCCTAGAGGGTAGAGAGTTGGGAAAGGAAAGGACTAATTTTCTGCAAAGCCCCAAATCTTCAAACTCTGGAATCAGCAAGCAGGCACAGGGGAAGACCTAAGCAGGAAGGCAAAGGTTCAAGGAAGGAATGGAAATTTGAACTGCTACTCATGGGAATTTGAGGTCTGAACCTAATAAAGGTTAACTGCCTCCTAAATCAAGCCTAAAAAAGCCTTATTAGAAAATCAGTAGAAGAATGAATAATCTCTGCCACACATTAAAATACCCAAAAGGGAATTCAAAACCTCTTCAGCCTGAGAATGTGATCCATTTTTAATGGGAAATTACTGGAAATTAAAACCGTAAGTTATGAATTCATTAACTGTGTGAATGTGACATAGTATAGAGTCAGGAAATCTGAAGATAATATTAACCAACCAAGGAAGAAAATGATTGTTTGTTTTAATGATCAGCTCGAGAGGAACCTGTGTGACAATAACAAAAGGCCTGTGCAGGTAATGGATTTCCCCAAAGACGAAAATGGGGGCATAAAGAAAGTGTCATTGCTAAAAATATAAACTGGGCCCAAATCTCTAATACACAAATGTAAGATTGTAAACATTTTAGGTTTAAAGGACATATAGCTTCTGGGGCCAATTTTTAAAAGTTCCTTTAAAAACATAAAAGATTCTTAGCTCATCCTGGCCTGTCATTTGCTGACCCCATCACTGGGATATATCACTCTTATTAAACATTTTATTTTCTTAACTTTCTACCTATTATCAAACACCTAATCCTGCTAAAATACTTCAACATTTAAAAAATTTTTATTATCTGAAAAGTGATTGCAATGTTTTTCAATTACATTATCTCACCAGTAAAAAAATGCCTTATATGCTGTATATACACCTACATTTAACACAAGAAAACACTAGAAAACAACAAGCAGGCATGGTGGCACAGGCCTTTATCAGCACTTAGGGGGCTGAGGCAGATGGATCTTTGTGAGTTTGAGGCTGCCTGGTCTATATAGCAAATCCCAGGATAGCCAGGTTACACTAAACACCAAAATATTAAAAGGTAAAAATGAAATTAAATAGCTAGTCCCATTTTTTTTTCCCTCAAATTACAATGAATTATGATGTAGAAGCCTGTGGTTTCATGTTTAGGAACCCATAATATAAAATATTCCCCTTTCCTATCAGGTTCCTTAGCAGATAGACAATACATGTGGATGGATGACAATCTATTTTGTCTGAATACTGGTGTTAAAACTACAGTGGTTCTTCCCTTTTTGGTTTGAAAACTGAACTGAGATTGGAGCTAACACTCAGAGGCAGATGAGAAGAAAGCAACTGGAAACTTGAGGTCTAAATAAGGGGGTTAATTGCCTGCTATCTGAGTGTTATAACAACTATTACTGCTGGCTCTGTTATTGTCTATTATCTCTGGATTTTCTATTCCTAGTACATACTTCATATAATGAAAATATTAACTTGATGCTACAGCTGAATATAGTGGTAAACCATAGCCCAGCACTGTGGAGGCTGTCAGTGCAAGCTTGAGGTTCTATGAAGTGACATTCAAGCCAGACTCTGCCTCAATAAAAACAAACAAACAAACAAAAGGGAAACTAATTACTTCAAACAAACGAAAGTTAATCCCTAAAGTTAATATATATATATATCATACACTTGCTAAGTACTATGACCAGTTCTTCAGACTCAAAGACATCCTCATAAAACCAACTCCTCAGCATTTTGTTGTTGTTTCAAATTTCTCAATGTATGGCAGAAGAAACAAGTAGGGGCTATCTGCAAGGTCTCAGCCAAAACTTACAGGGCATTTGTGGATATGAAGGTGGGGAAATTCTTTACTCTCAAGCTTTCTTAAAGCACAAAAATCTTCTCACTAGGAGAGGATCTTTGGGAATTTTCCTTTTAAAAAATGTATGAGCCATGCTATTTTTACTTCAGGGTCCATATTCTATAAAAAGTAGTAATTAAAAACCCTTTAATAGTCCTGAGACAGGAGGAGCTAGAAAGATTATAAGCCTTCTACCTCACTGGTTATACTCACTCTAAGTTATAAAGCACTGTATACACAGTCTAACAGATGAAAGTAAATGAACACATTAAATGCTAATTGCATGGAAGAGTAAAGTATGGTGTCCTAGCATTTGCAATTCCAATAAAAATTATTAACAATACCTAGATGGGGTTGAAAAGAGACAAAATGAAAAATGCATCCTGAGAAGATTATTACACATGTCCTTTTCCTTAGGAAACATTTCTTAACTGTCAGTTTTGTGTTTAATCAAAGATAAAATATCAAGTAATCAGTGTGAAGTACGAAATACCAATATTACCAGCATAACCTTTCATAGCCAATAAGGAAATAAACCATGTAAACAGCTTGGGAAATCATCTAGTGACTTTTAAAAAGGTACTCAGTGATACAGACCATGATTCATACAAAACAGCTATCAGTTCAAGCTGAAAACTTCCCATTCATGAACACAACTGGATTTTTCTCTCTAGAAATTCCCTGAAGATGATCTAAATTAGAAAATATGCAAAAGTTGGTTATACAAGAAACTATCAGCCCAGGGCACTACTTTCTTTAAGAAAAAAAAAAAGAAAGAAAACAAAAAACAAAAACAAAATAAAACAAAGAACAACTGTTTTCACTGAATAGTGTTCCAAGATGGGAACATTCTTTCTTTTCCTATGGCATTTTTCCCTCTCTCATTAATTTATTTTTTATTTATTTATTTGTGTGTGTGTGTGTGTGTGTGCGCGCTCCCAAGCGTGCATATACTGAGGATAGATCCATGTGTGCTATGGGATAACCCTTTTGTATGCTGTCAACATGTTTTATTCCCATAAATAAAGAAGCTGCTTTGGCCTATGGCAAGGCAGGATAGAGCCAGGTGGGAAATTCAAGCAGAGATACAGGAGAAGAAGGGCGAGTCTGGGCAGATGCAGGCAGACTGGAAAAACCAGGACCAGGTGGCAATAGATAAATAGAAATGGGTTAATTTAATGTAAGAGCTAGTTAGTAATATGCTTGTGCAATAGGCGTATTTGTAATTAAGTCTCTGAGCGATTATTTTAAAAGTGGCTGCAGGACCAGGTGGGAGAGAAAACCCTCGCTTACACATGTGTTCACCCATGTCAGGGATGTACTACATGGCCAAGCTACACCTAAGCATTATTTCTTTTAAGCTGTCAATGTCTGATGACATCAAATCACAAAGCAAACTGACCACACCAATACTCTCAACCAACGGTGGCAGTGACCAGGGACCAAAAGGGACTTTCTTACTGGGGCTAAAATGGGTGCCTCCAGAAGTCAATGACCCTGTAAGGTTTCTCACCAAGAACCAGAGGTAGGTTGAACATTCTTTCTGTAACACCTCTAACACCCAAATTAAAAATGTTGTGACAAGGGCTGAGCGATGCTTAGCAGTTAAAAGCACTTGGCTGCTCCTGCAGAGAACCAGGTATGACTCCTCACACCCACAAGACACCTCACCCTAACCCTAACAGTTCCAAGGGATCTGATAACCTATTCTACTCTCCCTGGCTACTAACTGAATGCACATGGCCCATAGACATATGTGCAGGTCAAGTAATCATACACAAAAAAATCAAAGTACAATATTATTTTAAATGCTGTGACATTACAAGTGTTTCAGGGCAAGAATGGTAATATAAAGTTCCTAAAATACTTTATTTTCAAGAACATCTACACACTAATTAAAATATCAATATGCAGCATGTTTGTTAAACTAGATGAATCTCATCTCTTAGATCAGAGGCATGAAATCACCTGCCTACCTTTCTCATTAAAAGCATTATGATAAAAGCTATCACAAGGAGTTCTGTGAGGCTCTTTGGCTGTTGGGATGGTAGTTAGAGACAGACAACTGTTTTTATGTGACACTGAGTGTCCACATTGCCCTCAACCTTTATGAAGTTCATTTGAGAGGAAACCTCATAAGTAACAGCCCTATGAAGACAACCCCATCACAGTACCTTGGCGGCTTTGTTAACCTTGTCTTCATTTTCTCTCTTATATATAAACACCGAGGCACATTTCCCATCTTGCAGTATGGCGGGGTAAACAGCAAGTCCAGAGGGCAAGGTGAATGGTGGTTCTCTCAGTGTATAGCTCTTTAAAGCACTGCTCTCTGATCCCATCCCTTCTGCAGTGAGGCAGTACTGCAGCTCCTCCTCAAGTCAAACAGATCTACAACACAGCAGAGACAAATTAGAACATCAAGCATCCACCTTGATAGAAGCCAGGTAGCTATCCAGCTTACCCCAAACCCCAAAGTGTCCATTCCAACTTAGTCATCATTCCTGCAGTGATAACAGTTGCATTTGATAATACAATCGGTCAACGAATAGCAAGTTATCAGGAATGTTTGTTAATTAACAACTAACAAGTCCAGAGAAAATTCATGTTACCAAACAGCCACACAGACTTTCTTCCCAAACCCAATCACATACAAATATCTATAAAGATTTGTAACACATTTCAGTTAAATATAAGTAGTCTTAGACAGCAGTGGTGGCACATGCCTTTAATCTAAACACTTGGGAGGCAGAGTCGGGCGGATCTCTGAGTTTAAGGCCAGCTTGATCTACATGAGTTCTAGGATAGCCAGGGCTCACAGAGAAACCCTGTTTCAAACTCCCAGCTCCCCAAAAGTAATCTTTGTATGAACACAAACTTAGATTTTCCTTCCACTTGGAGAGCCACAGAATACTTTGTTATTATGTAATGATGCCTAAAATACAAGTCTATCAGAGAATTTACAATGTGTACAGATGTACAATGTGTACAATGTGTACATTTGTCTGTACAATGTGTACAGACAAAAGCACTAAGGGCAAAAAGCTATACAAAATGAGTTTTTCAAAATCTAAGAACGTCTGTAGGTGAGAACTAATTTTGCCCTTTAGTAAATGCACTAAGGTTTGACATACCTAACAATTTATTTTTCTTAGGCTTGAGGATTATTGAGGAAGAGAGGGTTTCTAAAAGCCAGAGGAACAGGAAGTTTGCGTTGAGATTATATCTCTTAGAAAGTCAAAGAGGAGTGCCATACAGTCTCATTAAGCCAGCTGCATAAATAAGACCTAACAGAAAAGGGTGAAAGCTCACATAACCCCATCCCTAGCCAAAGAACCACAGGCAACTGGGGAATGCTGAGAATCATTGACTGCTCTTCCAAAGGGAAGAGTTCCCAACTGGGTATCCAATACCAAGTGGTTAACCCTGAGATCAGAGATGCAGGTAATATTGTACAGACTGAGCAGGTACACAGACATAACAGAAAAAGAGACCATGAATTTGAGACAAGAGGGAGGTGGCTGTATGGGAAGGGTTGGAGGGAGGAAAGGGAAAGAGGAATGATATTAAGGTATAATTTCAAAAAATAAAAATATTTAAAAGGAAATAATATTAAGAACAATACCAAAATAGCCAACTGCCTCACTTTTTATTAGAACAACAAATAAAAATAGTTCATAGGGTAACAGAGAAAAGCAAATCTGCTCATCTAGAGATCCAGTAATGCCTGCTCAGTGAGGGCCTTCCTCCTGCTCCCTGCCCATGGCTAATGACTTGTTTCAGATCAAAGAGCAGTCAGCTCACAGACTAACTTCAGTACCCACAACCGGAACAAAGGGGCAGACTCCTCAGACCACTATCTCCTCCAGGAGTTTGAATGGGGCAAGGTTTTCTCTATCACTAGTAGCACATCTGAAGCTGTGGGCACTGGGAGGTGGAGCTGGTGCTATGGTAAAGGAAGGCCACATGGGAGCAAAAACTTGGCAGCACCAAGGAAGCGAGTGGTCAGTGGGATAACAAGTTCAGGCTGCAGGAATGGCTTTTTTATGGACGAACACCAGCATCCCCATCTCAGACCTGTTTCAGGCCTGCAGGATGAGCAGCTGGCTTCTAATCCTGTTTTTTTCAATGACTAACCTCTTAAGAGTCTGCAGCTTCCCTGACTGGCTTGAGTGGCCCATGCTCTTTGAAATCAACTGCCATTTCTACTCTAACCCCTGCTTGAAACATCAGTGAGATCATAGGCATGGGTCAAGGGTTACTTTGAAAAGTATGTGAGGCTGGCCTGCATTCTTGGTTCACTACAAAATAAAACTTTTCAGAATCAACAAACAACAAAGGAAAAACAGAACAAGGAACTACAAGCAGATGAGTGTATTCCTGGCAGAAAATCACACTACTAAGTTTCATCGTTAATCCTGAAGAGATACTTGTGGTCACTGAGATCCATGAGCTGTGCTATCAGAGGCAAGGACAATGTACATTTAATTTACTTATTTCCAATAGTAAAACAGGCCCTTGTTGGACTACTGAGCTTTCGAGTATCTATTAACTTTTAATTCAATATTGTAAATACAAAGTGATGATAATTAATAACTTTAGATTTACAAGAATATTAGAAAGACACTAAAACCTGTCATTTTTCACACTGGTGTATTGCCTATGACCCTAAGAAAAGCCACTTTTAAAAAGGGATGTCTCAGTTTCTGCTGAAGAGAATGGAATGCCTTGTATTTTTGTTGTTGCTTTGAAAGCTTGGTGATGCTGAGAGATATCTATTGACACCATCGAATGTGAGACTGGCCGAACAGCAGAGTTCTATGCCCATTGCAGCAGGGAAGATGTAAGGATGACTGCATTTGAGGACACGAAAAGGTGGTCACTGAGTCTTCCCAAACTGTTTCTAGGAGGCAGGGGTGCTGACTAAACAGTGCTTTTAAAACCGAGACCTGAACTGAAAGGAACTTACTGAAATGCAAGATATGCACAGCACTGCGAACTCCAAATATTCTTCCTTGATTTGGGGAGTAAGGAGGAAAAAATGAAATAGTGCCACGTAGATTTGAAATGGAAAGTCACACGAAGGTAGAAAAGGATATTCTAAAATAACAGACATTTACAGAATACAACACTTCCACTTTCTATAATGAAACGTCGAGTTGACAGTCTCCTTGAGTGTGAATATATACCATAGCCATCTTAAAAACAAAACCAAAAACATCGTTTACTTATTTTCCTCCTTTTTCTTTCTTTGGCTTCAGGTGAAGCTTCAGAAGGGATCACCTGTGGTTGGGAAGCACCCTTGTCTAGGTCCCTGAACAACTTCAAGACTCAACTGTAAAACCCGTGTCCTCTGAGAGAAATATGTCCCTGTTAGTTATTCTACCAACAATTAGAGATTCTCTTGGCTCCAGTTCCCTTAGCTTCAAAGTGCCAAAACTTATGGCTTGCCCGGGGAATCTTAAGGATATGCCTTACTCCTGACACTTAGCTGCCGGGGTGGGAAACCTTACTAGCAGCCCTGTGCTTTGATGTGTTTCAGCCATGTATGCTGGCGGTCAAGAACTCACCCCACAGTGCTAGCTGATTATGTAGTGGGTGGACTAAAAGTATTCTGTCTGATCTCAGCTCAGGATACACACCAGCCCCTCAACCAGGAGCAACTGTGATCCCCAAATTCAGCAAAGACGACTTTGGGAGATACGTGTTACTCTTACTCTACGCACGAAGCCCCCGGGGGCCCAGCTGTCTGGGAGCCTGCACCGCGCGACCTTCCCGCTAGACTCCAGGCCGGGCCTCTTCGCTCTCCACTGGCCTCTGCCGCGACGGCGGGGGTCACCCGAGAAGCCGGAGAGAGGGCACCCCGAACAAGCAGGGGCAGCCAGCGCTCAACGGGCCGCGCCAGCTCTCCCCGCGAGGGGCGACCCCGCTCCCGCCCCGTCCCGTCCGGCCTGGGCTCCGCTCGGCTCCCGGTTACCTGCGGGCGGCGGGTGGAGACTGGTGGCTGGCTCGGACACTCAGGCCTAGGCCCCTGCACCCGCAGCCTCCTGAGGACCGGCTCAGAGCGCACCAGAAGGGCCCGGAAACGGGTCAACACACCGGTCTTCAGTTCCTCCGACGCCACCACCGAGGCGCGCGAACCCGGAACCGAGCTAGAGCGGCCGCACAGGTGATGCTCGGGCCCGTGCCATCTGTAGGTGTAGGTGTGGGCGCCAGGGAAACCCACGTCTCACGCCTGCTCCCAGCCGCCTGTCCCGGCTGCAAACACACCGGTCGGCGTGTGCTTTTAGCTCATTTGCACAGGTGTCCTAATTTTAATGTTTGGATTTTTAACCTGACGGTTTTGACTTCACTTCCGCCCGAATTCAAAATGGCCGCCTCCGACTTCGGATAAGTACGATGGTGAGGGGGCGGGGCAAAGGGAGGAGTTTGGTGCTGAGCCAGAACTTTTCCGGTAACGACTCTCATCATCCTGGCCACCCCTGGCTGGCCGCGCTACCTGGGCAGAATTTTTTTTGAACTACTGGTGAAGTTATCAGAAATCATGATGATCTAGGCTTAAGACTTAAGATTTCAGCCTGGAATCATTCAGCGGGAAAGTAAAGTTAAAAGGAACACTGTTGCGATAAAGCAGGCGAGGGTGACCGAGGTGGAGGGACAGACACGCCAGGGGAACAGCGCTCAAGTGAGAAGTTTTATTAGAAAGAGGAGGGAGGGGGAAGGAAAGAGAAACAGTGTAAAGAGACAGAGGCAGAGAGGACCCGTGGAGCAGCAGGAAGGAGAGAAAGAGGAGTGGGAAAGAAGGCGTAAGTGGGCGGGGTCTCTTTTACAGGGGTCCTTTGCACCTGGGCTGACCAGGGTACCGCCTGAGTGCATTCTGCCAGGTGACAGGGGCAGGCCAGCGTAATGCTTGAATCCTTACAAATACTACTCCTCAAGACCTAAGAAGGGGTGAGAGGAAGAGGGAGGAGGAAAAGGCGACAATACACACACTACAGTGTTTCTAGCTCCGACATTCGCAAATATTCTTGATCTCTTCGCTTGTTCACCTTCAATATAATGGCCTAAGACCAAATGATCACCCTATTTGACTGTGGTGGTCGTAGGTTCTGGCCAATGAGACATAGCAGAGCTGTGTAGATGCTAAAGGACGAAGATCAGTGCTTCACAGAAAGCCTCTGCCTTCCTGGTAAAGAATGTAGACATGAATGGAGTAATAGCAGCCACAAGAGCTACAAGTACTGGAAAGCAAGTCAGCACGGTAAGACTGAGTTGAAAGAAGAACAGGATTCTCAATTTGTTTTTGTTCCTTCTTCCTGGAGGAGGAGAATTGGGTCACTTCAACCAGCATATGAAATCTGCCATCAACACAATTACTTTCCTGACTCACCATCTTTGCAGTACTCTTAGCCCTGAGTTCTTGCTGGCATTTTCATCCATTCTTTGGTCATTAATCCAAGTCCAACTGTGAATGGGATCTTGGATAACCTGTTGCCCATTCTCTCAAACACGATGGCCACCTATGCCTCCAAAATTAATAAGACAATTTCCTGCTGAATGAATGAGAGGACTGGAAGAGACACACTCAATACTTTCCTATTGTGCATTTTATTGTTGTTGTTATTTTAATCGTTTGGCTTTTAAGCGTCCTGACACCCAGCACCCAAAATAAATACACGGGGTCTTATTACTTCAGAATGTCTGGTTTTATCTTGGCTTGTTTGTAGCAGGCTTTTCTTAACATAAATTATCCTGTTTACCCTTTGCCTCTGGGATTTTTTTGTTTTCTTACTTTTGTAAATCTTTTACTCTGTGGATTGCTGTGTAGCTGGATGGCTAGGTGGCTGACCCCTGACATCCTCCTCTTCTCTTGCTGCTCCTCTTCTTTCTCATTTCTCCTTTTGTTTATACTGTTTTGTCTGCCAGCCCTGCCTACCCTTGCTCCTGTCTTGTTATTGGCTGGCTGTTCAGCTCTTTATCGGGTGTTTTAGACAGGCAAAAATCACAGCTTTACAGAGTTAAATGCAACATAAACTGCCACACTTTCCCTTCCTACTATTTATCTATTCCTGATGTCTCTCGGGTCTCTAAATAAATCACCTCTTAAATCTCTGGATTAAGATTCCAGCTATTTTGAGGCCACAGGTTAACTTGTACATTTACCCCTAATAGGGATGTTGGTCATTCTCTCTAGTGAACATTTAACTCTGTAGCAAAAGGGAACAGTTTTGTACTGGGGCATACAGATTTGGCTATTCTAACTGGACTTGTGTGATAAAGCTTTGTTAGTGTGTGGAATACATAGGACAACTCAGGAGATATTCTTCAGCAGGACCATGGACATTTTCTGGAGACAGGCTTCACTGGCTTGCAACATACTGATTAAGCTAGGATATCTGTCTGGGTAACCCCAGGAATTCACCTACCTTTGCTTCTCCAGTGCTGGGATTACAGGCTCCCGCCAGCACTGCATTTTTAAATATAGGTTCTTTGGATGAGACTCAGGTTCCAAGCACTTCATTGATTGAGCTCTCTTCCTAGTGCCCTCCCAACAAAATTATAGAGCATCTGCACACGAGCCTGGCTTGAAATTCTAAAACTGTATGCAGATTTTGGGCTCACATGATTCTTATACTCTAATGGAAGGCTGATGGCTAGCAACCTTTCAACCTATTTGACCTATCTTGAAGTTACTCATTTTGGCAATGAAAATTCCCTTTTTAACATCCTTACAAGTACTGTTAGTCTGCCTTAGGTGTGAAAAGGACATTTTTCATAGTATTATGTCTCTGAAGTATAGATTTCTAATTGAAATCCTTCTGATGCCAATCCCTCAAGAGTGAAACTTCTTAGTGTCTAAGTGCTCAAGGATTATCTCAGACTCTTGTTCAACAGACAGATTGGGGGAAATAATAGATGAGTTGAGTTGTCTAGGTCTTTGAGGTGGGCATTTCATATGCTGATTTAGATTTGTTCCTTATGGGTGGTTGGTGCTTCATCTGGAAGCATGTTAAAGATGCAGAATCTGGGGCCTGTGAAGCTGGAGACATGCTTAGTGATTAAGAGCACTTGCAGGTTTTACCCAGGGCCTAGGTTCATTTTTCAGCACCTACAGGCAGCTCACCTGTAACTACAATCCTACGGGATCTGGTGTCCTCTTCTGGCCACCATGAGTAACAGCATGTGCATGATCTAGCATTTTTTTACTCTTTTGGCTTATATTTTAGTCTTTCACTCAAACTGTCTACTCATACTAGCCTGCTTGATATCTCTCTAACTCAGACGGGCATTGATTTGTTTTAGGACTTTTGTTCTAGCTCTTCCCTCAGTCTTCCCTGCCCCCTACAACCTTTGATATTCACTTAACTAAGTCTACCTGCAGAGTGTGGACCTTCACACTCCCACTAAGGAAAGGCAACACCCCAAATCACTCAAGAGAAGCGGTCGGTCTTGATGTAAAAGCATGAGGTCTTTTGTATTCCAAGTGCACTGGGGTCCACAGTCATGCTCCAAGCAGGGGTAGAGGACTGGGGACCCTGAGTACAGAATTGAGATAGCTTTTATAGGGTTACAACAAAGCCCGCCCATCTTAAACCAATCATCTCATAGCATCCAGAGCACTCAATTTAAACCATCCAAGCCTGTGCTTTATAGACCATTCAGTTTTCTATAGCCCGGGAGGTAGGTATTTGCATGGGCTCCCGGGTGGGGTGACAAAGCTCATTTCCTGTACTCACAGGTCCTATAGTAAACAGCAAAGAATGTGACCTTTTGCCTACTTAATGCCAGGGGACAGGTCCTGGAATTTAAGGTATTTAGTATTTTTAAACTTCTAGCTTCCTGGAGTCAGTGGAGAGTTAGGCTATATTTTTCCATCCTTACAGTCTCTCATGACTTCTTACTGTAACTCTGTTCAAAAATACCGTTTAGAGAAGTGCACCTTGACCTATGCTAATATCGCAGCCTTTTCCCTTTGACAATTCCATTGCCAAACTTCCTGTTTACTTTTGCACTTTTTCTCTCACCCCACAGTTCTCACATCTATGTTTTATGAAGTGTAAAAATGGCAGGTTTTCTTAATGTTCCTAGAACTTGGAAGCATTTTACTACAAATATCATAATATTTACACACATAAAAAAACACACAAAAAATTTTTTTTTAGTGTTATAAACTGTACTGATGGCCCTTATGTGTGATGGCTTTATAGACTGATCAAGCACAGGAATTCCTACCTATTATGCTATATTGTATTATGTTCACTTCTAGGGGCAGAGGTGAATTGTGGGTTTGTTTGGTTTTTGAAACACAGTTTCTCTGTGTACTTTGGCTGTTGTGGAACTTCCTCTGTAGAACAGGCTGGCCTCAACTCCTGTCTCTGTCTCCGAGTACTGGGATTAAAGATGTGTACCACTTCCTGGAAATTTTGAGGTTTTTATTCAACAGAGATGCAAACAAGAGACAGGTACAACCAATGACTTTAATGGTTACTGGTATCCTGACCTGTAGGACATGGACCCAGCAATGGTCAGCAAACATGTGAAAACAGGAAAATTAATTCCAAAGGCTTTAGAGTTTTATTAGACTTTGCTCTCATTTTTTGCAGTAAAGTTCATTTTCAACTATTTTCTTCAAAGATTTTTAAAATTCTTTCACATCTTTCCCCCAACTTTGTTATCTTCTCCCCTGTACCTGTATGGTACAAAGGCCATTATGTAAAGAATTCAACCCAGTGAATTGGTACACATTGGTACGTACAGCTAAATGACAAGAGACACCTGTATGAGAAGAACAAAACATATAGCAGGATGGCTTCTTCTTGTATTCTGGACAGAAAGAAAAGCAGCAGTAGAAGCAGCAGTCCTTGTTTGCCTTTCTTGTCTTCTAAAAAAAAACAAAACAAAACAAAAAAAAACAAAACACACAACAACAATAAAAACAAAACAGAACAAACAAATCAGAAAAGCAAAACAAACAAACAAACAAACAAAAAAAACAAAACAAAACCTCTACAGGAACCCAGTGGGAATGTGTTCAAATCAGAGAACAGCAATAAGGAATTTTAGTAATAGGAAATCAGACCAAAATGGGTAAGGCTGAGGAGATGCAGTAACTTTAACAACAGCAACAAAAACCCTAAATAAGCTCTGTGTGGTTGGTGGCATGTACTTATAGCCCTGGCAATCAAAGGATGAGGCAGGGGGTTCACTGCATATTGGGGCT